TGTAAGTTTTAATTAACGGTTACAGAGTTTATTTGTTGATTTGTTTTTCTATAAATATTGAAAGAAAACCGCAAAAAAAATGAAAATTAAAGAATTAAAGGTTGTCAAAGAACTATGTTTCTTAGATTACATATATATGTAGCCTATATATGTAGCCTATTTATCCTATATTTAGGATATTTTAAGTATTTGCTTATTCTTTCACATTTACTTAAGCTTATATGTTCTTTTTTCTCACCACATACAAAGCTTTTGGCCAGACTACTTCTTTGTTTCGCGACTAACGATTGGCTTAAATATGCAGGGAGAACTGCATTATTTATGCAATAGTACTCCAGGCGATTAGATGAAAATATGATATTGATAAGTATAAAAATTATTTCTAAACAGTACCTCGATTTTTTTTAAGAAATTGAAAAAACAACAACCTTTAAATGTCCAAGGGAAATAAATGTTCACATGAATGTTTACATTTTACCAAAAGTTTTGAAATACATATGGGGTTCCATTCCCGTGAAATATATATGTCAGTCCTGTTTTAGTCAATGGAGAGAAACGGTAATCCACTGTGAAGGGATCTTGTGAAATAATTGGTTTTCCCCCGTCATATATAGAAAGATGAGTTCCATGTGTCAAACTTGATTTAAAGTATGTTAAGGGGCTATTTTACACAATGTAAGTATATGGGAAATCAAAAGGGTAGTCTGACCTAAATTGTGTGCTGTATAGTGACTTCCTGTATTGTAAAATACGAATTATAAGGAAATTAATTGTTTTGTTTTTAGTGGTAAATGATACGTCACGAATTCGTGAACATCGTCTAGATACATTCTGATTGGTTTAACCATTTAATGATATCGACTTAGGGAAATATGATTTTATTCATATCATCATAATGCCATACAAAAGAGGGGTTTTTAAATCGTTTTATGGGAAATTTTAACAACCATTTTGAAATTCGTATGCATAAAGAATGACTGATTACTTTTTTTACAGATGAACGTTACACCCACTCTTCATTTAACTCTCAAAAAGATCATTTCGAATTGACATTTTCAAAGTCATTACACTTAGGTATTTTAAGGTGAGAAAAAAATAGTCCAAAATAAACGGATACCGATATATACATTTTAACTACAGAGTACGCGATTTAATTTACTTGATGAAAATTGAAGCTTTATTCCTCGTGAAGCAATCACAACTTTTCGGCATATTACGCCAAACTTAGGATAATGGTGTTGCAAATGGATGTTACGGTAATGTATGTACAAAAGTCAAGCTTTAACGTTTGAAAAGAGTGTCTGACTAATAGCTTTCAAACTCCTTAAAACATTAGCATCAAGTTATTATGAGAAATAGAAGATTGTCGATTGACATTCTTCAAATTGTATACATGTACATATAACAAGATTGTCAGCACACATGTCTATAAATAAATTATAACATTTTTTTAGATACGCAACTTGCATAAGAACATGATTAAACGCTAGGATAAAGTCATACAGAAAAGATATTTCAACTTCAAGGAAAAGCTGTAACATAAATTTTCATTTTAACAATATACATGTATGCATAATTACACTATTTAGATAATCACATATGATTAACAACATATATAGTTCAAAAGCGTGTTAATAAACAACAAAATAAATAAATAAATAAAAAGAAAAATATAAACAACAACAACACCACCCCAACCCCCCCCCCCCCAAAAAAAAAAAACCACCTCTTTTTCAAGTTTTGAAAATAGCTTGTATTTGTAAGTTCTGGAAAAAAATTGTAATTTAGGATTAATTGTTTGGAGTCCTACTTTATTTTAAGGCTACTGTAAATGGCAATATGGAAACAGTTATTGCAGGCGCATCTGAAATCACAATAGCTGTAGAACTGATGGTCAAATAATGTATTAAATTAGCTTCTTAGTATAAAACAATGCAGTGCGGAACCTTCATCATAGATTTTTATCATCTCCCCTATTATTGAAAACGAATACTAAGTAAATCACCGTTTGTTCTAAACTGTATACATATTCTCCGTTTTTTCTCCTTTCCCTAATTAAGTGACATTATGCCCATACAAGGGTATATAGTGAGTGAACATGTGAATATATAAATAAGTTTTCATTTTGCAATAATTCCTTTTGATTTAATAATTGACTTCGCAAAAACAATAAATAACACACGGGTCCTAAGGACTTTTTCTGTAAATATCCATTACAGTAGAAGTTACGTGTAACGTTCAGTTTATAAAAAGTGTGGGCAGTCTTTTTATATTTAAGGCAATAATTGTATCCTAAACATTTTTAAATATCACCTGTTGGTCAAACACCATTTTAACAGTCAATCTTTTGAAATATGAAATCAATTCAGCTCAACTTGACAATAAAAATATGAGCATAGTGTCATTTTAAAGAAACTCAAACTCAGAGTATGCTTTACATGACTGCAAATATTTTTTTCGAGGTTTGATATATCATTTGATGGAGGTTTATACAATTTGTTTGTTTGCTTAATTCCACACCATTAGTTCATTTTGTTTATTCTGTTTTTCAAGAATAATAATTCTTATTGCGTTTATAAATCTAGAATAAAAAGCGTTCAAAAGATTTTCAATCAAACTAGGCTAAAATCTCTCTTAACATCGATGTTTAATTTAATTCTGGATATATTTCTTTATGATCTTTTTAAATTTCTAACGTTTAAAGTGCCATATTTGATCTATGTAAGTTTTGTTCCGAATTTTATGTTTATAGGTTTCTGCACCCCTGTGGAGCACATTTATTGTCAAACGCCATTTTAGGGAGCTATACTTTTGAGTCACGTCATTTGACTTCTTCAAGTACACCGAGTATATGCAGATATCCATTATTGCAGGAATGTAGTAACGCCTTCTCTGTACAATGCTATGATTAAAACGAGTTACACTGTATGGAAACGGACCAAAATAGTTAATCGTTGGCCAAATTAAAAGAAACAAAAAAAAGCGCTTACTTTGACAGTATATACTTTAACCGACAATTCTACATATATTTCCAGGAATATGTTTACTTTTTAAGAAAATTCTTGAAATGACAATCTGTCTATAGTTTTTGAGGGGACTTTGTGTTTCGTCGATATAAATAAGTACAATAACGCATTAAGAACTTTATTTTCTTCATATTCATGGTGTTATGTGTCTCCACAAGTAATTGCACAATGATCTTGCATGAAAAAACAACCGAACAAGTCTTGAAAGGTACAGGTAAAATTGATTAATTGTGTAACGAAACGAGAACAACATGTATTGTATTTAATTTTAAAATTGATTTAAAAAGAGAGGGAAATTTTGGAACGTGCAGGGTGGCCATACTCTATAATGGTGACAAAGGCCAGTCACTTTTGGTTCCAGAAAAAAGCAGGGAAAAGGTTAAAACTTTTGAAAAACATACATCTGGATATATAAAAATATAAAAATGTACAGAGATATAAAGATATAGAGATACCACGAAAATAGATTACGTAATAATTATAATAGCAGCGGCTTTCTCTTTAGTTTAGTTTTTTGTTTTGTATTATTAACAAATTCAACAAATAAGCGATTTCAAAATATGAAAATTTTCTTGAATTGTTAAATAAACAAATAGGTATCACACTCAATTTGATTCCTTTTATTTCACTTTATGTTCTTTTTTATTTGAGAAATGCATGCACCATTTTCGGTATTTTGCCTTGGAAAGAAAAGTTTCCCATGGCAAATATTTTCATAACTTTATTTTACAAAGTTTTCCATGGCAAAACTTTCTTCATAGGTTCTCTCCCATCGTTGACATGAACACACAGAGCATTATTTTTGTCACTAGATACATTCACAAACAAAATACATATTCCCATGAAGGAAAAATGTAAAAACTATTTGGAACCAGAATAGAAAAGGAAAAAAATATGTTGATGTAAAGTATGGCTTTTGCTGTTTTAATTGTATGATCATGTTTACGCAATATGAAAACATTATTTAAAATTTCTCTACTTAACCCTTTACTTCATATACACGTGTTTTGACGGTCATAGGGTTATGTGTAACCAACGCTGAACAGACGTTGACTCTATCTCAATCCATTGAGAAGTTGCAGTACTTTGAAATCAAACTTGTTGGAAAAAATCAACGCAAAATAGCGATTTTTGGCAATTTTCAGATGTCCCCTCGTTGCCATGGTAACAGGGAATTTAAGACTGAGCATGTCGTTACAAAGGCAATGGCCAATATTTGTGCCAACTTTGATTAGTATTGAAGCATTTTTCATAGTTTCATAGCAGTTTGAACTTGTAACAGGAGGCCTTTCAATGAAAACGTCCATTTTTTCACAATATGCTCATGAGGGAAATGGTTAATAAGTGTAATTAAACTTTTTGAGAATTAAGTTGCTCAAGTGGCGTGAGTTCTAGTATAAAAATGTACCCTAATGCTCGATAATCTTTGTCTTTGTCCTAATAAAACAAAACAATATTTATTGGTCGATGTTTCTAAAAATAAAACATCTATTACCATTTAAATACTTCTCACGAAAAAATATAAATTAAAAAAATGTAAAAAAAACCCAAGCAAGTTGATAAAATATATTAAGAAATACTGTACAATTTAGTTGACGTAACTATAACGACATCTATGAACGTAGCATTTATAGAATACATGACGTAGCATATAGTAGGCTAAATATAACAAAGCGACTTAAACATTTTGAAATATGATATTTGAGTTTATAGTCTTTTTCATTGTTTATTTTTCACATTGAAATGGAGTGACTTTTAAAAAGGTATTACAGGTATTAACAGCTTTTCTTACAAACTATATGATTGTAACGTTCCATATAGCTGAGATGTCATATCATTAAGGACGTGACCCTTACCGAAAAAGTTATTGTGAAATAGACTATCATTATCATATGTAAACATTCTACCCGTGAGTGTATGAACTCATTGGAAAAACCCTTTTTTAACCAAAATACACCCTATATAATATTTTTTATAACTTCCTATTTCAATCAGTTAAATGGATGAATTAGACATTGTGACATAACACACATTTTGGATTGTTTTAAAGTTTTTTTTATCATGGGTGGTAAAATATCGAAGCATGATAATAAGGTAATGTTTAAAACGAATTATGTTTAAATCAACGTACTTTCCGACTACGGGTACTGTAATTCTAAAACGATATAGTTTTTTGTCATAAATAAGTACCATATTCATCACTGTGTTTTCAAAAACCATTTTCCACATGAGAAAGGTTAATGTTAATTATAATGCTTTGCTTTTTGCCAAAGATTTGTTTTGTTTGAATATCACTTCCAATCAATCATATAAATTTTAGATTTGACCTAATTTTTTGTTACTTCATATTGGTTATCATATTGATTTTTATATTCATCTTTGACCCTTAGGAGGAACCGTTTTTGTTGTCTGGAACAAGACATCTTATAAATCGGTTGAGCCATTAATTCTTCAAACAAGGCAAGTTAAGCAGACAGAGAATTATGCAAAGGGTTTATTATCAATGCTGAAATGGTACATGATATCGCCATTAAAAATATGGACTACCAAAATTCGTGTGACGAAGACGTTCTAAATTTAGTAACTTACATTTTGAAGTCTGAAGATCAGAGCAGTATTATATTTACCGGCATATTGAAATTCATATATCTGGTACTAAAAATATTTGCTGTTTCTATTAAATCTCTTGGATAACGCCTAATAGAAAGATTTTTTGAGAAATAGTTATTTCAAGTTTGACTGGTCCTGTCCATGTAAGACGAAGATAGACGTTTAAAATGCATAATAATACACAGACATCTCAAATATTTGGAACATCTTATAAGTCTTGTAAAACCTTTGGGCAGAAACAGTTTTAAAAAGTAAATATGGCTTGTAAAGATCGTAAATCTCAAATATCTGGCTGATTATTTTTTATGTTTCACATAAAACTCCCGGGCAAATTGTTGACGAGTTGAAGACTTTAAAAATATTCTTTTAAACGTTTATGCAAGAAAGGCGATAATTGAAATATAACTGTAAGAGATAAGCAGAGATACCCTGTCGTGTAACATTCTAAATGTATAAAAAAAGAAGTATTTTAGAGGACGACTTTTTAGTTAGTTGCAGAACTTCATATTTTTATTGAATTATGTACAATAATGGTGAAGGATTATGTCTGTACGAATAGGCTGCCTCGGTTGTTTTTTTTTGTAGGAGTAAGTTTCTATGTCGAGTTCGACACTATGTATACCCCATCAACATTTAATGACCAATTTCTTTTTTCCAGAGATACCGGGTCAGGGATAACTTTAAGCCTGTCAGGTGGAATTATTTTGATGACGTAAGTAACAATTACTACCATATCACTTTTATCAATAGTAACCGATATTTTCTCCAAAGAAGTATTAGTCATATAAAATATGATATATTCAATAAGTTCCCAGAATATACATCAATCTATTGCTAATATTGAAAAATTTCTTGCAAGGTTGATCACACAAGAGAGCAATTTTACTTAGACATCTTTGAGCTTTAGGGTTACTTACATGACATCTAGTGCTCATAATGATACTTCGGGTAATGAATGTTCAATGATACATTGGAGACATTTTAAGCATTGTCTAATCCCTAGATGAAGTTGTTCGTCATCTTGATTGGTCCAGTGATCGTTACTTGGTTTTTCGAGTCCCCTAAAATCGCTGATGATAAAGTAAATATCTAGCAGCCGTTTCCTATGTGCTCAGTCTGGCAGGGAAGCTCCTAACCTTTGGTGCCTTCTCTACATTAATGCTGAACATGCCCTGAAAAGTGTTTGTAATTTTGCTCAAAATATGAACTGTCTGATTTTTTAACTTCACCGTTTGATTTAAATGATTTTTTAAGTTGCTAGATGTCGGTATACTTGCCTATCAAAGTACTAGAGTCTGTACTTGAATGAGTCATTTATTGAACTCTTATTGTTTAACAGGAAGTACAAGCAGAAATAATGCAGTTTAGTTTATTCACGACCACGACGATTTTTTTTAAAAAACGATAGTGTTTACTTAAAGATATCATAAAATCTGAAAAGCGTGAAATTCATCAATTTTAGCTGAATTACTACCTCTTGTTGACATAAACGATATAAAGAAAGAATTTGTATCATTTGAGATATGACTCTTAATCCGTCATGCGAAAAATATTTAACGTGCGTAACAGATAAGAACACGTTGTTCAAAACAGGTTTATTTATCAGGTGCAGAATGGATCTGAATAAATAAGATCTCCGTTAGCTAGCTGGATAGCTCCCTTATCTCATATTTGATCTTATATTTCGAAAATCAAAATTACGCACCGAGTCTGTCTGTGTTGTCATTCCATTCATTTTTAAAACAGACGTTGATATTATGTAATCAAAAGTGACTTGAAGGTACTCTCCGCAAACAGTGACTGGAGGTTTCTAAAAGCATCTGTCATCAAAAGTTGAAAACAGCACGGGTTAATACTATCTACATAAAACTAGAGAATAATACATATGTTTCTGCCAGAAATACCAGCATAAAAATGTTTTGACACTTTTACCAGCAATGATTTTAAACCATATTTGTAAACATCGATCTTATAAAATTTGATCCGTAAGCAATGATATAATAACTTATGGTTAGAGACCATTATCCGATACAACACAATAAAGAAGTATGTTACTAAAATGTTTACTTGTCGATTATTAAGGCAGATACATTTTTGTTGATTGAATTATATTTTAGGAAGCTTTGGACCTGTATGTATATGTTTTTGAATTCATGTTGGTTCATTTAATATTTTTAGTAGGACAGTATTATGGTTTTCAACAGTTATTTTTCTTTTTTATTGTTATGTGACGCTTTCTCGAGCTTTTCGCTTGAAGTCACTTCGTTTTGAAATTTCCGCAACTCTCATTTTTGTTGTCTTTATATATATTTTGTCGTTATTTTTTGTCTTTTCATTGTTTTATTTGGTTAGTTAATTACTTTCTTTTTTTACATTAGTACTTTTTGTATGAACTAGCTTAATATTTGAATTTGCGTTATTTGTCAATTTATAATTTGATAACACAGCTTTGTCATCATTGTTAATGAGTAATTTGTTTTTGACATTACTAAGCATATTTTGTTTTCTAAACGTATTTATCTTTTACCGTATTAATGCTTGTTATCATTCATTTCTTCCTTTTCTGCTGAAGAGAAAATTTATTATCTTATTCGGATCATGTGATTTTCTATGTTGCCCTAAATGGATTTTGAAAACGGGAAAATCCCTTTTTAACAACAGTTTTGCGTGTTTATTTCAGTAGAACACAAAACATAAAAAACATAAGAAACAAAAACAAAAGAAAAAAATGAGAGAAAAAAAATCAACATCGTTTTACAAACAAATGTAATGGAATATGTATAATTCCACAGTATTCATTTGTGAAATAAAGTTTATCATTTAGAATGTATTTTTTTCTAAAAACATCAATAACCGTTTGTTTGCCAGAAGCTTTAATTTTGCCGATTATAATTAAATACTGGTTTAGACTTATCGATTTATCTTGACTCACTCATTATCATAACATTTAACATGTGCTTAATAACATCCTCAGTTACCCATAAATCAAGATGATCCGATGCATGATCCTACATACCATTTGCAAGGTGAACCGGATGAAAACAACGGGGAAATACGTAATCCCGATCTTGACGTGTGGCTTCCAAGAGTCAATGAGAGTACGGGAACAACATATGGTGTGGATGATGATGCATGTGGATATGATTCCGGTCAATTTTTCTATCATGAAACTGTTTTACAAGAGACATTACCAAAATTGCCCGTTAACCCCGAAAATATTCAAGATGAAACAAAACCAAAGACTCCCGAGCAACCAGATCATTATGACGTGATTAATGGTTAGTTTTATTTTGCATTATGTTATAGTCTTTTAATTAAGTTTTAAATGACTCAATTGTTTTGTCGAATGTGGCTTTCCTAGCATGAGCATTATATCAAGTCGCGGGTGCAACAACTAACCTCTGTAAACCACCTGTATTATATTACCTGTAGCAGAATTTCAAATAGCGACTGAGTTAAACCACAAAACTTCCTGGAACGTTTAAAATACACAACAAATACATGTATATTATATAACAGCATTTTTTTTATTGACAAATGTTAAGCTTGCACAGTGCACATACATTTAACTAAATGGGCAATCGATGTGTTTGTGTAAACTTTAATTCAAAGCCTATTGCACACAGGATATTCATGACGTTATTTCCTTTTTAGATCTCGAGATGGACCTGTCAGACACGGAACAGAAACAACCAATGTCAGTTCATAAAAATGTATGTTGAAAAAAGTTTATTTTAACTGAGAGAGTCAGGCTTTATTTGAATTTCAAGATAACATGATGATTTTACGTCCAGATTCTTGTGATTTGATATTTTAAACCTATGTTATTCTTGTGTATATGTCTTATAATTACTATTCTTAGTTTATTATTAATTTCAGAATGATCATGCTAATGTTTATCATGGGTTTCCTAAACGCCGAGCTAATTATGAACAGATGGTCAAGATATTCAAGCCACTCATTGTTAAAAACGTCAACGTGAAGAGACTGCTACCTCATTTACCATTTTTGTGTAAGCACATAGTACAAATTCTTCTTTTACTTAAAGTAAAAATTGAAAAAAAAAATCATTTACAGTTTATCACTATAATGCTGTAATCTGATAGAAGAAAGAGATCTGTAAGACAGTATGTTTTCATTGTGGAAACCATTTCATATTGAAAAAAACAAAAAAACAATAGAACTAAGTTATGTTATTTGTTTGAAATTCCTGAGGTCATAATTCGAGTTTTTGGTGCAATTTAATGGAATATACATATATCAATAATATCTCGTACTCGCTCAAAGTGCTTTGCAGCCAAATTCAATATCGCAGAATTTTCAAGTATTTCATATGTTTGAATGCTTATAAAACAATGACATGTTCAAGAATTAATATTCATTTTTGCTCTTTGTTGTTTATTTATTTTTAACACTAAAACTCATGGCATTTTTATATTTGTCAATAGATCAATAATAACTGTCTCTATTTTCAGACAATGTTGAATGTAAAATCCGTGCCATTGAAGAAAGAGATCCACATGCTGCTATAATATACCTCATTGATGAGTTATGTTCAGGAAGCAACACAGAGCCTGGACGCTGGAGACAATTCATGCAAGCATTGGAAGCATGTGGTAATTCCAATTTCAGACTTAATTCATATTATGCCCAATGATCTTGAGACTAAATCACTATGCCTTATAACAATGCCATGATATAGTATAATGTCAAGTTTATTATTAAAACTGATGATCAGGTATTTTTCATATTGCCTGATTACTAACAGCAAATGTTGGTGTCGTTTAGCTTTCTATAGAAAATGTACGCTTAGATGAAGAAAAAATGTTACTGTAACTCACCTGCAACTCAACATAATATAAAATGATAAAAATGTTAGTTGTATGTCTGACAATCACATATGAAGTTCTTCAATCCATTTCATCTTTCTAAATTTTCTTTTTGATCTAGTTCTAAGTGTTTTAAAAATAATTTTCTAATAATTACGAATATATATTTTTTAATTTAATATTCTAAACTACTGTAATTTACTTAATTGAACCACCACTGACAATAAGAACTGATATGAATAAATGTAGATGGTGCTTTTTTATAAGGCTTTCTTTTCAGTTTCCTTAATGTTGCTAATTTATTCATTTTTAAATTTCTGAATAAAACATATTAAAACCAACATAATATAATAATTAAAACACTCGAATGATTGAGTCTGCCATCATATCATTACCACAAACAGATATATGTTTATCATTTACACGATACTTGTTTTTTATCGATGTGAACTGTATAAATAATCTTGTTTTCTTCTGGTCATTTATTCAAAAATTGATAGGATTGAAGAATGAATGCTAGTTAAGTCTATGCTAGAGGCACCGGTGATTCCAACTTTTACAATTGCCCATGAACAGTCTGTAATTTCCATATTCATAGATCTCGAACGATTTAATTTTTCTAGATTGTCTGTGTGTAAATGTATAATTGTATACATTTACATCTATATGTGTTTGCAGGATATAAATGCATTGTCGACACTTTAAGAGGAGAAGAGCCTGTTGACCATACATACCAAAGACAATATTTGAAAATAATAACACCTGTTCTTCGTGAGTTAATTGTACCACAAGAGGTGGTGCAAATACTCTGGGCTTATAACGTCATTTCCTCAGAAGATAAAGAAGAAATTATACAAACAGAACGGATGTTTGGTTCTCTAGCCGCGACAGATAAATTACTTGATATGGTCCCAAGGCGACACGAATTTTGGTACTCTCATTTCGTTGATGCACTTACAAACGCTGGACGGTACGAAGCTGCAGATTTGCTGGCAATACCAGAGATACTTGATTCTGAAGGTCAGCAGAACACATTCCGTTATCAAAGTTAACAATTACGATTGGCTATTTTAACATCCAATTTGCTTGTTTTATTAATCTGGTTGAGGGAGCCAGCTGCTGGAATTGCATTTTCTTTCTTTGTTGAATTTTACATTCTTAATTTCATAATTATTGTGTTCAAGAAATGGTTAAAAGTAAAAATGTCTCATCTTTCATTGTCAACATATTTTACTACAGGTGAAAAAGTACAGAAATGTTCAGACACTGACGACAATATCGACGACAATGAGTATATTTGCAGAAAGGAAATTTCAACAACTTTGAGAACAAATGACTACTTAGAAATGATGGAAGATCACCAAAGTAATAAGCTACATTTTACTGAACGCTATAAGAATTTCGATTGCTCCAAAGAGTATAGCGACAATGGAAGGGACGAAATAGACGAATTGTATATGAAAATGCGCAAACCTGAAAACAAACCGGAAATAGTAAATTTTGACAACTTTTCTAAACATTCATTTGAGATTGAAGAAACAGAACGGTATGAGGAATATCAGCCTAGAGATTTGAGCGGAGAATACAGGTCACTGACTGACATGACATCAGAAGATAGTATGTCTATCAGTGAACCACCACAAATTCCACAAAGGAGGTGGAATAAGCAGTATTCTAAAACAGGTAATAACTCTGTATTTCTCTCCAAAAGACAGGGAATTTTGTCATTCTGACATTTATTAATTCGTTTAGTTAACAAAAGGTACTAGTTGTAAATTTCATCTTATGGCCTGCTATCATTACCAAACTGCCTTCACGGGCATATCGTATGACATGTTTTCGGTATTTTGTTTCGTATTAGTAAGCTCCCTCGCTTAGACGCTAGAGGCACTTTTTCGATATAAAAATAAATATCACATTTCACTGAGGGTGAATCGAAGAACGAGATTCTTCGACGCCTAGGTTAACTTTCTATATCATCACCCTCAGTTGGATGTGATATTTTTATGTTGCTTATGTTAAAATTATTAATACTACGCATGTTAGAATTACATGTATGTGATGAACATGTAATTCAAACATTAGAGCAGTACATTGTCATTATATTCTGCATAATATTTCTGTACACATTAAACCCAAAATGGAAACAATTTTAAAATAATTTGAGCACTTAATATTTTCCAGCTAAAACTGTTCATTCAATAACATAATAGTGTGCTGTCTGTTTTGTTTACTATTGTAACTTATTGCCTCTCTAAGCTTCTAGTTATTAATACCTGATATAATTGCTTAATCTTGTATTATGCAGATATAAATAGCTTGAAAGTAGGAAATTCGCTTGAAATAGATATCAAAGATATCAAAGACAATTCAAGCGATACAAACAGCGTCGAAGTAATAAAATTGACCACCCCAGAACCAACAAGGTGTTATTTTCCCGACCATACACCTTTGCATTCAAACAAAGGTGAGATATAATTCCACGAATATTCTTGTTTAAATAAACTGTCCTAAAACTGATAATTAAATCGGCTTCTAGCTTTTATCTGACTATTATTGTCGAGTGATTTCGGTGTCACAGATGTTCATTGTGTAATTCTTTTTATATAGCTGACTGTGTACTTCTTTTCATATTCTCTTATAACCATGTTTGTGTAATTCTTTTCATATTATCTTATAACCATATTCTGCCTTAATTTTACAAATTTTCATTTTCCTTGTGCATTTTGAAATGAATTTATTATTTTTATTGTATCAATTCTATAAAGTCAGTGTATTTCAAAACGTTATAATGAAGGCACTTAATCTTGTATGAAAACATATTTCTTTCAGTTAAAATACTGAATAAACCACCAGTTCCCTCTCCCAGAAAACGAATCAGTTACAGCGAAGGCACGACAAAGTCGCTACAAACCTGCAGTAAAGTTCAGCAATCTGGAACGGACAAGTCTGGCACTCCTAAATCAATACCTTCAAAACCTTCTGAAACATCGGCAGATTATTCGGGTAAAGGTGTCTTTGTCATGTAAAAATATTTCATCCAGGTTAATTGTAATATGCACACATAAAGAGTATAAAATTATAATTTTCACATCTTATGAAATGAAATAAAATTTACTTTCAGCATTTGTACCACGCGTTGTTTCAATATATAATTGTTGGATCAAATCTTATCATTTTAGCCTATTTATTATTTTCAGCACAAAAGGCTCACATCGAACCCCCAGTGACGTCGTTTTCATTTCCCGAGAGCAAATTATTCATATACAATCCATATCAAAGCCAACATAGCCTTGTTTTCATTTCCAGAGTCCAAAATGTCCGTATCATACCGGCAATATCTAAACCCGCGAAGAACGGTTAAATTTATATTTAAATATCATATTTGATAGATAGATAAAATATGTTATTAATTGTTATGTGAAAATTATTTTTTGAATTTCGAATTATCAGTTAATCTTTTGTAACTGGAAAGTTAAATGTTAAAAGCCACATTAAATAATTTTTTAGAACCAGAATGAAGCCAAAAAGATATTTTCTACCTTAAAATTTAGTTTAGGATGACTCTTAACAGAAGAAGAAAAAGGAGAACGAAGAAGGGGAATGTGTAGGGGGAGAGGAGAATATTTTTGAGGAAGAATCTAAATTGGATAAAGGTTAAAATGAAATCCGATCTGATTTGTTCTAGTTAAAGGAACATTATGCCTCATAAACGGATACATTTTTTTCTTCTTTAGAAAAGGAAAGCATAAAAAAATCTGGAGGAAAAGTGATCCCTCGGAAACAATAACAATAACAAGATAACATGACAATTGTTGACTAGGTTTAATTGAGTCTTAAAATGTGAATGTTATAATGTTTAATACTGCTTTCATAGCATGTTACCTGCTGATTATCTAAAGAAAATAGCACTGAATGCAAAATTATTTTAATCATAAAAAATGTTAACAAAGTACTGTAGTATTTTGAAAATTCCAAAACACCAAAATATAAGTCACATAAAAAAGCCCTTTTGAAGAAACAAAATTCAAATAAATTTCGGGGTGGGCAATTAATAAGTATTTCAAGAATAACATGTATATTTATACTGACTAATGGTTATATTTTTTGTAGAAAGCGGGGCTACGACAATGAACGTTGTTTCCCCTTGATAGAGTTACCTTTTCACATTTCATTATTCAATTGTAAGTAGCATACATGGCTTATATGAGAGATGAACTGAAGAACAGAGCAAGTGTTTTTAATGTTTTAGAGAATTTTGCAACACAAGTAGAAATTACTCTATGGGAGAACTAACTGTTTCTTTTGCACGCAAGTTTTAATTGTACATTGTAAATAATTTTCGTTGAAGAGGTAGATCCAAGTAGTGAACCATTGTGCTAAGGCGATGATACTTTTCATATGTGATTGTTTAACGATTTTGTTTTTATAGATCAGAAGAGATGCATGAGGTCAAAGACAAAGCCAACAATTAGAAAAAGAAAGAACAGATTCAAATTTTTCAGGAGACCCAAATTAAATAGCCGACGAAAACCTCTGAAAATTTCTTCAGCCCCTGTTCTTCAAACCCATATCGGTGTCATATGCAAGAATCAAAGGAAAAGTAAACACTTTTTATTATCAAAGAATTTTCTTAAAGTTCATAAGAATAGATTTTTTGGGGGAGATATTAAACTGTGGGATGTTAAATGGTTTTTTTAATACGCTTAAAAATATTTTTACACGAGGGAAATCAATTTTTTTTTCAAGAAGGTTCAGAGTAACCAGTTTGATATTTGCTTTGAGAGGCATTTTAAGTGGATAAATCTTCTAATGTTCTAATGAATTATCTAGAGTATTTAGAGTATTATTAGAGTACATTTATGCTACCGATATATGTGTTTGACCATATTTTGTTTGTTTTAGGACAATGTTTAGTTAAAGGTTCCGCAAACATATTTTCATATCTTTTATCAAATAACTGTCGAAATTTTAAAGTTAAATGTAGGTCATATGTATTTAATTTAATGAAAAGTTTAATCATTTTAGAACTTGCTCTGGCAAATCGAGAGAAATTGCCACTTCCAACAATGAACATGAGTCAAACAACAAAAGCTGATGGCGATGTAAATAGAAGTAAAAGTCTTCCAACAAACATTGAAAAAGTCTTAGGATCGCGTGATGAACAAAATAGACTGACAGAAGCTACAGGATTAAACTGTTTTTTTTTAGTAAAAGTTAAAAATAGCCCCAAAACCTTTAAATGCCCAAACTTTTTTGGCTTTTTATAAATTTTTACTTTTTTTTTGTAGTTTTTGGGTTTGAAAATTTTTAAAAACGCTTAAAAAACCTTTTTGACTGATTGCAGGACATTTAAAAAGGGGGAAAGAAAAAAAGCAAAAGCTGCGTTTATTACTCAAAACCCCTTTTTAAAATGTTTTAGGGGAAAAAGGGAAAGACGATGAAAAATTTTTGCAACGGGTTGGTCGGGTTTTCCCCCCAAGCTGTAGCAGTTGAAAAACCCCAAAGTAAAAAATTTTAGCCCAAAAACAAATTCTATTTTTTACAAATAAAAATGCATTGCGAAAAAGAGAGCAGGGGGAAACTGAAGAAACTGTTAGACAAAAACCTGGAGTCTTGCAACAGCACATACGATGATAATCAGGTCATTCTTAAAAGCAATACAGAGATAAAAGATATTACAAAAGACAATTTAAATCCGGAGCTAAGAAAATCTCTGGAGAAAGTGAGAGACTTAGAATCAAAACTTAATCATGAAATTCATAATGGGAAAGTTTTGAAGAAGACGCTACAGTTACAGGGAGATGTCAATGAAGTGCTGAAACAAAACAGACAAAAATTAAAATGGGGCGAGTGTAAAAGAAAAAAGAGCCAAAGCTCTTAAAGGGCGGGGTACGAGTTTTTCTTTTTTTTTTTCAATGTAGAGAATAGCAAAGGTTTTAAAAAATTTTAAAACCAAGTTTTTGGTTATTCAAATTTTGGGTATTTTTTTTAAAACAACTATTTGTTTCTATAAAACTAGATTAAAATTATTGTACCATAGTACACTACAAAAATAATTAAGTTTTTAATAGCAGGTGTACGTTATAATTAATAATTCTTTGCATGAACAAATACCCAGTGTTAGACTATTCATTTAAGGTCTATTATTTGACATTTCAATTGATATGTTTTTTTTCCTTATTCTAGCTACCACTGAATTTTTAAAATTTGGAAATGGGCATCTGTTTTTTTAAAATGCCAACTAGGAGAAAAAAACAAAAATTGAAAGCCCCTTTGGAAATATTATCTTATCCCTTTCGGGAAAAATTAAGGACATTTGTAAACGGGGGGGAAAATGTTATAGGGAAATCCCAACAATTAGCTACAGGGAAAAATTTTCAGTTTATGGAAAAGATCAAAAACTAAAACTTCGAAAAGATTCTGTTCTGTTTCAGAATTGAAAAAAAACAAAAATTTGATTTTTTAAATTTTATAAAATTTCCCAAAATTGGAAAACTTTCATAGAGTTGGGAAAATTTCCCGGGTAAAAAAACTTTTAAAGTTTGGGGAAAATTTAAATCTTAAAAACCTAAGTTGCATTGTTAAAAAACATTTTATTAAATAATATTAAAATGTTTTTAAATATATGAATAAATATATAAAAGATTAATGTTTATTTATTGTATTAACAAATTTTAATAAAAAAAACTTTAAAAGTTACGAAATTTTTTATATCAATATATATATTCTCTTAAAACAATGCCAAATTGAGTCTTCGGGCTGGGTGAATTAGGTTTTGCTGATTTTAAAAAAACCATTGCTAACTTCTTCTTCACCCGCTGAAAGTTCCAAAGGTTCCGTCCTAGCATGTGGAAAGAACCTAATTTCCATTTCGCTTTATCAGGGAAAGGTGCTAGTTGTAACGCATGTACCTCTCAGGTCTGAAAAAAAATGAATTTGCACATGGGAAAGTTAAAATTTTGAAATATCGTAAATATACCTCATGTGATTTAAAATCCAAACAAAAAGAAAACAAATAAACCTTTTGTATCTTTCTGACACTTGCATGAATGAAATTTTAAATGTTAAAACTTTTTAAAGTAACAATCTTTTTTGTTGGTTGAAAAATTTTTAATGAGAAAAGCGAAAAGCAAGAAAGGGGAAAACAAAACCATTAAAAGATGCAAGAGTTAAAAATAGAGTCCTATAAATTAGTCGAGAAATTAAAATTGTTGCCCGGTTTAACCGGTGGACAAGATAAATTATAAAGAATCCTTTGTTTTTTCCATTAATTGGGCGTGGCTGGACATTTTTGGTTTGTTTTGCCGACGAAACTTTTAAAAAGAATGTCATAATCAATGAATTCTTCTTTCTCCTTCTTTCTCTTCTTGAGTGGAAAAAAAATTTAAAAATTTTTTGAAAGATAAGCAATGAATAAGAAGTTTTAAGAAAAAAATAAAAATAAATGACTAGAATCAGATGAGTAAAAGGGTCTAAGGGAAAAAGTTTATTTAAACAGATAGAAGTACGTCAGTGCTGTACGGGTTGAAATTTTCACCGGGGATTTTTTAATAATTTCGAATTTTGAAGTCATTTAAACCGAACTAACGTTTTAGCATAGCTTTTATGAAGAAATACCCTTCATAATATTGTTTAAAATTTATACAAGCTGATTTTTAAGCTAGTTTTAAGGCACAATCTTCAAAACTAAAATTGGGTCCTAAATATGTGGTACAATGTTGTTATATTGTTGTTTTGTTGTCTGTTCGGGGTTTCACCGTAACAGACCGCGACACAGTGTTTTGGTCATATGGGAACGTTCCACTAATCTGGTGGGGAAAGACCCTCAGGGTGCCCGTCTGTGGCCGTGGGAATTATTTTCAGGCCTCGAAAAAGGAAACCCTTAGTGGTACCTTTACTCCTCGATAAAAAAATTGAATGTAAAGGGGTTATTGCCGATGTAAAGGAGATGCTTAAATTCCTATAGAATCAAATAACAATAAGTTTTAAATAATCCATTTAGAAATAGAAAAAACAAGACATTTCCTTGTTGGTATATTTAAACTAATCCCAGTTTTTTTGAAATTAAAAAAGAAAAACAAGACAAAATTAAGTGGTAATGGATTATAAAAATGAAGGGTACACCTCTGAATATTTAATATCAGAGCTTTTTTAAAATTTTACCAGGCGCGTGTTACAAATAAACATATTTTATTTGGTGTTATCATTTTGACTTTCCTTTGAAGGGTTTCTTTCATTCAAAATTAAACTTTCAAACGAATTTGAATTTTTAAGCTTCTTTTCAATTTTTAATAATAAAAAAATACAATAAGCGAATAAAAAATAAAAAAGAAATATGAAACGAATTAAATTGTTAGGTCAATGTACTATGGAACGAATCTATACGAAAATTCTACAATGTTTTTACCTTAGATAACAAAAGGCTTTAATTTTTCAGCCACAGAACAAATGTTCATTTTTATCCCCCCTTTTTCCGATTTATATTGTCAGATACAGCTTTCTTTATGATTTTGGGAATAATGTACATGGTAGAATGTTCCGTTAGTATGAAGGGGTTTTTTTCTTAATATGGTACAAAAAAGTTTAGACTAGAAAATTCAAAGAATTAATCCATTTTATACAACATTTACAATCGTTATAAAATTTTTCACGCTGATAAAGAATAATTAATTATTAGTAAAATATAAGCACGTTTAAAAGTTGAAAGTTTTAAAGATAAGTTTAGTACTCACACAAAACGGCTGTAAAATTTTTAGGTCTTGGAGGAAAATTCAAAATTCTATGAGAAAATCATTTAAAAAGTCACAGAAGGTTAATTCTATTTAACCAATCCCCCAAATAACAAAGGAATTCTTGTGTTTAAAAAAATCCTCTATTTATTAAAAATTCTAAATTAATAAACATGAAATTTTTAAAAAAAAGAGTCAACATATTGAACAAGATAAATCACAAACAGAGTATATTTTTTACAACACTATCAAGCGCTCTAATTTTTTGTTTAAGAAATTAAAAGATAATTTGGGGTCTCAAGCGGTGTTTTAACAGGCACTATTCTTAAACAAACGGGTTTTGAGTTTTTGGGATGCGTAAAGGAATTGGACCAACGAAGGCAAAAGTTTTTCCGCTGGCCGATTTTGCATTTTTAAAATTATAATCTTTTTTACAGCTTCTCTGTTATATGCAGGGCCCTTTTCCAATAAATCCCCCCTGAAAATTTTTTCCCCCTTTCCCAAAAATCCCCATTTTTTTTTTTATTTTAAGTTTTTTATTTAGCTTTGCCAATTATTTTCTCGTTTAGGATACGCGCATTTTTTTTTACTTGGAAACCATAATTATGCCGCTTTTACATGACACTAACGTTGAAGGTTCCATGATAACTGCCATATAAACACCCTGCGGACGTTTCAAATTCAAAACATTACCAGTTTATGTTAAATTATGCTTATGCCGGTGCTTGGGGACGTGGACGGTAGCTTGCAATTACCACTATCGTCAATCAAACTGGGTCTGCAACAGTTTCAATTTTGCCGTGTTGAACTTTCTTTAGATATCTGTTTTTCTCTATTTCTCTATTCCTCTACCAAAGTGTTGCTTTAATTTGCCCGGATGATAGCCTCAACCCTTCTCCTCATACTACAAGTAAGGCGTTTGATGTAAATTAAGTTGTAGGTTGACTACAGGTGGTTGTTCCACTGTCCAAATACAAATTTAAAATATCAGTTGTGATCATGTCAAAATTGAGACAAAATACACGATGTGAGGAGAAGGATTGAGGCTTTCATCTGACACTGGCGGTTACAAAACGCATGAAAACATATGGCCTTTATAATTTTCATTTTAAAGGGTTTCACAATTTGTCAACATTTTCGGGTTTGGATTATTGGGACAAAATTTTTAAAAATCGTGTCCCCCTGTTCAACATTGGCTGTTCCTCGGTTCACTTGGTTTTATAATAACTTACATATGAAAATAAATTTAAGTCTTCCTTTGTGATACTGCAATGCTCAAAGCCAAGATATTATGTTATGCCTAGAAGACCTCTACCAAAGTTATATAAACCATCTCTCTTATAAAGGAAGTAGCCCCGCCTTCGGGCAACTTCTTTAACATAGATTTGTATAGTAAAAGATGTCTGTAAACTTTCATTTCATAAACTACAATGCCTAGCGCTAAATATTAAGCATTATGCACCACTTCGTAAAAAATGACCTCATCCTGTGGCTCACTTTAATTGCTTAGACTTGTATTACATGTATTACAATGAAAATGTCATAAAAACTCTTTCCCAGGAACTGCATTACACTGACCTTAAATATTTGGCACGTGGCATCACCTTGAGTTCCTCTACAAATCATGTCTCAGGAGCCTAGATTGGTTACGACATCTTCTTGAATGAAACTATTATACCCAGAATTTAGGTTCTATATTGAATAGCTTTTACCATGTAAAGAAAGAAAGTGAATATATCAGATACTTTATATTATTTTAAAAGATTTTACAAAACACTCATAATCAACATGACTACCAAAATTGTCACTATTTTCTACGAGAAATGTTGCTTTTATAAACAATATGTTTTTGATGATTTTTTTTTTGATGAGTTTTAAATCAGTAAAAGTTATTTCTTAAAATAAAAAAATTTAAAAGTCAAACATTAAAAGTGAAAAATCCCCCTTTTTCGGTTTTCCCTTTAATATTTGGGGTTTAATGGTTTAATAACATAAGGGTTAAGATCCAGGTGGGAAAAATCAAAATGTTTAAAAAATAAATTTCTGGTAAAATAAACTGAAAAACCTTGGGTATCAACTGAAAGTTTTGTCTTAGCAATAGGAAATGATCAGTACAATTACCTTTGTTATTTATTATGTAATAATATTATGATAATTATATTTACATTGTACATTTGTATATATTTAAAGAGACTCTCTCTCTACTAACATTGTCCTAACCACATTTGTCATGTAAGTATGAAATGTGTAGCCGAATGCTTATGATAACTTAAATATTTGTTGTTGTTTTGATGGTTGAGTGTTTTTTGTTTGCTTTTTTAAATCCTTTTTTAAATATCTTATATTATACTATTATTTTTAATGGTATATTTTCCACCTTCTAAAAGTCATGTATTCAACTTATTCATTTAATGTTTTAAAATTTAAGTAATAAATTTGATTCGTAATTTTGTATTTTGTAAGAAACAACATGAGGTTTGTCAATTTCACTTTTTTTTAACTTAAAGATTTTGTGAATAAAATGTTCATAACGTAAATGTTGATTTCAAACGATTGCAACCGTTTTTATTTTCCTACGCATTCAAAATTTTATGCTAATTGGAATTTTTCTACTTGAAATTTTAATAAAATTGTAATGCTCCCATTAATAAAAAAATCTCATTTCAGAAAAAAATTAAAAATTTTACAATTTAAGGATTTTTAAAATTTTGCCAGAAAAAGGCTTATTTTTGTTATTATGCATTTTATTTTTCATATTATTTCAAATAATCCAAAATATAATGCTGTTTTTAAAGATTTTGGGGGTTTAATTATTTTTTTAGTAAAACTTTTAAGGTATATTTTTAAACAATTTTTTAAATAAAAAAGATAAAAATTACATTTTTTTATTAAATATTTTCCGAAAATATCAAAATCTAAAAATATAAAAGAACATAATTTAAACCATTTTCTCTGCTAAGAATGAAAATCACCACCAACTCGAGGGAATTGATAATGTAGACGATACGATTTTGATACAAATTCAAAGTACCAAATATAAAACACACGATCAAGAAGAAAAGAAAGGTGGCATTCCATGAACGCAATTCCCAGCACGACTCGCAACATGTAACAAAATAGGACACCAATACAAAGAAAGAATGGGACTTAAGTGGGGGCAACATTGAAAAAAAAAACTGGGAGGAAAAGGAAGATATATACTTACCTTAGACGAGATAAAAAACAACAAGAAGGAACACAGCACAAAGGTGTCACCGCAATAGCATGTAGCGCAAAAGCAAAACATAAATCTGTGGGACAATAAAGGGGCGCTGTCATAATTCTGTCATTTTTATTTCAAGAATTATCTGCCCTTTCATCTTAGAATTTTGCGATAAGTTTTTAACTTACTCTGTAAATTTTCTAAACATTCTATTTTAAATATACAGCATAGTTTCAAAATGATTCCTACAAATTCTGTACTTTAATCAGATCATAGCTAATCAGACATTAAAAAAGAAAAAAATCCAAGAGGTATATCATTCATTTATACTCGTCTCAGTAAAATTGATTTAAACGCCTTCAGCAGCTGTCGCGTCCGGTCACATGCCTCTCTTTACAATAAAGATACATTTTATCATTACAAGTAACTTCCTTGTTTATGTTTGTAATCAAAACTGAGGATTTAAAACATAAGGTAATATTTTAACATACATTCATGTACAAAAACTAAATTGGAAAGAAAACTAAACTATTTAAAACGATACATAATATGAACAGATCACAAACATGTGTCACATTTCGATAGAAGGCGCCGTGAAACTAATTTAGCAAATTAGCAACTGAATGTGTCATAGTTAACTAGTACGTAATTTCAATATATCAAGTAAAAGTCTTCCTAAATTAAGTAAATTCATAAATATAAAAGTAAATTAACTTATTATTATGGATAAAGAAAACAAAATGTCTACCTATTGACAATTGTTCGGATTTGGTTATATTTGTACACCAGTATTGATAATGCTTGTCAGACATATTTTCATTCATAATTTTGACCGAAATATACTTAATTTTCCTTTGGATGTCTAATATAAACATTCGTTACACATTGTCAAAGATTTATACACCCTCTGTAATATTTTTACATCTCAAACCACGTGGTAGAACTACTTTCAATCCGTATTAAGTCCGAGGTTGTTCCCTGCGGGCTCCAGCCCGCAGAGTATTGATATGCGATTAATTTTTGAGGCATGGAGGAGTATAAACCTGTTTTCGGTAAATGTAGGAGCACCAGATCTGAATACCGTACTTGACTGGTTAATTAACGTTGTATTTGTTTTTAATGAATTAATAAAATCTATACTTTATGCACATATAGTAGATAAAAATAGGTATATGAAAGAATATTCAATTGCAATTAAAAAAGATTACATGTAAACATAGTAGTGTAGTCTGTATCATCAAGACATTTGCGAGAGAAACCTCAAACGTCTGGATGGTACAGACGGGTGTCCTACTAATCGATCCTCTCCGGTCTTTGTCAAACAATTTTGAAAACACTTAAATGAAATATTTTTAAATTATTAAAACTTTTCCCGGCAGGAAACCTTTTTTAAGTTGTTATAAATAAACGATATGTTATCGATTGCTTTAATGCGTTTCATTTCGTTTCTTAAGGAATTTAAAGAATCTTTTCTCAGCAACACTACCAACGTCTTTAAAAAATGAGCCACGCCAAGACAAAACCAACATAATGGGTTTGCGACCAGCATGGATCCAGACCAGCCTGCGCATCCGCGCAGTCTGATCAGGATCCATGCTGTTCGCTATCAGTTTCTTTACTTGTTATAGGGTCTGTAAGCGAACAGCATGGTGCTGGTCGCAAACCCATTATGTTGGTTTTGTCGTGACACGGCTCAAATAGATTACGTAGTCGTAGCGTATCTTGTATTTTCTGAAAATTTCTTCAGTTTAAAACATTTGTTATAATATCTATCTAGTATGTGCTTGGTTTAAAATTAATTTATGCATTTATGTATATTTATAATCGTTTTTTCGTGTTTAAATACTTATTGGACATACTAGTTTTTACTTTCAGTGCGTTATACTAAACGTTATCTGATATCAACCACATTATGTATTATTCTTAAGTTAAAAATGTTTATACATTAACATAAAGATAAGACTTATTTAAAATGCAGAATAAAGTGTGCAGATGTCCATACGTATGTTTCTAGTACAATTTTTTTTTGCATGAACTGTTGTATTATAATTGGGGATCGCAATCAGGTAAGAATAATTGTCTTTATACAATACCGGTATCAAAATAAACTAGGTGAAATATGTTTGATATTCGACTTACAAGTCGTGGATATAACAAGTTAATATATCAAAATTGTGAATGAAAGTACTACCAGATACTTACTTATCTCTGATAGACATTAGCTGGTAGATGTGGCTGGTACCTATGGTGTCCCCAAGGGGTTCAGTTTAGGTCCTCTTTTATGTCTAATATATATGTCAATGACATGTCTGCAACCCAAAGCAATAAGCTTTTATTATATATATTATAGTATATCCTTGTATCTGGTAAAATAAATCTGAGGAATTATCTCTTATGTCATGAGTCTTATTAGTGATTGGTTAATTGACTATAAATTGTCTTTGCATCTTGGCAAGACAGAGTCTATTCTTTTGGGTTCAAGTTTCAACTTAAACAGGGTCCAAGCCTCCAGGTCACATGTAATGGTACTGATATAAAGTACACCTTTGTTTGATAAAGAAGTTATTATTAGAACATACTACCTGATTATAATTATAAATTTGTAGATTTGTTTGATTAGAAAGTTCTTTACTAGAACATACTAAATGATCATAAATATAAATTGGATATATGTTTGATAAGGAAGTTCTTTATTAGATACAAAAATGAATTGTAGATTTGTTCGATAAGGAAGTTTTTTAATAGAACATACTAACTGATTATAATAATAAATTGTAGATTTGTTTGATAAGGAAGTTCTTTATAAGAACATACTACCTGATTATAATAATAAATTGTAGATTTGTTTGATTAGGAAGTTCTTTATAAGAACATACTACCTGATTAAAATAATAAATTGTAGATTTGTTCGATTAGGAAGTTCTTTTAATAGAACATACTACATGATTATAATGATAAATTGCAGATTCGTTTGATTATGAAGTTCTTTAATAGAACATGTGTTTTACAGTCGTAAAATAAGGAGGAAATTCTTAATTTATTAATCGTCACACTCTATATTCAGTTAAAAATACCTTTATTACACAAAAAATAAATAAGATCTTATCATGCTTTTATGTCATATTTAATTTAATAGTTCTAACCAAACAACGTTTAGGTAAGTTATATGTAAAATACAAAAGACAAGTTGGAACATTTCTTCAAGCTGAAATAGTAATTAGTGAAGTTCAAATAGTGAATCCGTGACTTCAATATGGTGAAATCATAAATGCTTGCGGTCGAAATTGTAAATTCATGGAGCTGAAATAAAAACTCATAATGCTGAAATGTCCCCTCCTGCATTTCGTATTAAATATCTCATTTTTCTTACAACAGAAATACATGGATTTCATACCGTACAGGCGGTTATACCGTGTGATGAGAGATGATGAAAACCGAATGCATGGTATACAAGCTAAAGATCCATGGTCAACTCATTCGGTTGAGGAGCATGTTGGTAACTGGAAGCTTTGGACAATGTTTATTTCAACGTCAGCCTCCAAACTGAAAGCAGAAAAGTTTGCAAAGTATGCAAAAGACTATCACCCAGGATCTAAAAGAATTGCCGTTATTGATGTAGCCCGACTTGGCAATCGTGTTTTATATGTTGATCTTACTGACAAACATGTTCGGGACGTATTGATACCTAACAATAAACATGTGAATAAATGGGCTGATTACCAAAGAGAAGTTTTGGTTATAGGATATATTCCTAAACAGTGTATACTGGAAACATATATAATTTAATGAACATCAGGTGTTGTTGTGCTGACTGTTGTTAAGATGATTGCTTTAACACGACTATTTTTTGGATGTTATAATAACCAAAGAAAGGGACTTCTAGTATTTCTTGATTATTACAATTTATACTTACCGTTTTCGAGTCATTTTCCTCATTCTTATCAGTTCTTGTGTCATTTGTCGAAACATTAAAATTTTCATTTCTTTTTAGTAAGGCTTTTTTCAAATGATAAAAAACCTCAGCTACATAAAATATCAATAGCAATATGTTTTGGGTTATATGTATGTTCAGAAATATATGTTTTATATACTTTTGATTTTAATGAATGTTTATTTACGTTAATTATAAGAACCATTACGAAGCCGTATATATGTTGATAATTATATTTGTTTTTGTCTCAAAGACAATAGATGGGTCTGTAGACCAAACTTAAAATGTACAAAGAAAACCTCTGGTTAATGTTTTAGCATATGACAATTGAATTTGTTTAACAATGGTTTTTCTAAAACTATTAAAAATATTTACGATAAAATATTTATGCATAAAACCATTTGTTCGTAAATAAATGAATTCTTCCAAAACTTCAAGATCATTTTATAGCAGGACAACATCACAACTTTTCACAGTTGAAACAAGAAATATCTTTTAAAAAATGCTTGGCCGAAAGAAAACTTGCATAAGTTATTTCTAAATTTTCGATACATATAAAATGTTAGCAATGCTTGCATAACAACGACATAAAAATTCCTGTAGCTAAGAAAAAAACAACATTATGTAAACATAGAAATTGAATTATAAGCATATTGATATTGATGTCTCTTCAGATGAGGACAAGTTTTGTTTTACAGTATATATTAAGTTGTGTTCCTATTATTTTTGTTTTCGTTTTATTTTATAAACTTTCTAATCATATGCAATAATGACAAAAATATTTTAAAAAATCACATATAAAATATTGTAAATCAAAATAAAAGAATAAAGGAAACTATAAATAAACAAAGTTCTTATGAAATAATTTATAAAAGTTAAAAAACAGTATTTTTTAAAAAAAATTTCTTAATCTTATGGTAGTATCTTAAGAGATACGTATGTTTTTTTCTAACATACATGAATGGTGTACGTAAAGAGAATAAAAAAATTTCTGAACAAAATATATAATGACTTTGTTTTCAAAACTTTTATCTTGATAATAATATAGTCTGTTTCGTGCAAAGATCGCATCATCAAGGTTCCGGTAAAGGTCGGTAAGTATTGAAATTAGTTATCGACAAATAATTGTCGCGAGCGGAAACGGCGCACTATTGTAACACTTAAGAAACTTGTGCCATGAGGTTGCGTAATCGTTTTGAAAGAGATATAATCTATAAGTTAAAGTCTTTGAAACTAATGATATAACGAATCGTATTGACACAGACTTACAAATGATATTGAGACTCAGAATATTCATGAGTTAAACCGTTACTCTTCAGCGCAATCAATATGTATATGAATTACTTCTTCCAAAATTGGTTGGCCTCGATCTTTTTCTCTGACCATTTCAGACACTTCAAATCAGTTGAAAAGAAAGTACTTTATGGTGTTTCTGTCACTTAAAATATTCATAGATAACATTGATACCGAAAATAAATGGGCAACCATAAGACATTTATTTATAATTAAGCATTGCATTTATAGGATTATAGATATTTTCACCCAATATCTACTATATTGTGACCCGGAAAACACATGTTTAAAATGTAAGTTTCATTGATATTGTGTACTTCATTGATTTCAATATCATATGATTATATAGGGAAACAGTTATAAATGTACCTTAATGTGTTATTCATTTTTAGTAGCTTGGTTGTGTTTTACGTAACCATAGCATCAGCTTTGTTTGTGATTAAAATTCGTTCTTTTATAAAAAAAAACTTCATCCAAACTGCTAAATTTATACATGTATAATGAAACATGGGTATGTATGTATGAACAATTTTCAGTTGTAACTTCATGGTGGGGAGAATAAACAAATTAAACATATACATACTTAAATGCCTAATATTCTTAAGACTTTAAATGTGTACATACTATAATTGAAAAGTAAACGACATGTTATTTTTCATTACAAAAAAGGCTTGACATCGCATCGTTCAAATAACGATAATATGTTATCAAAAATGACCGATTACTGCTTACTGCTGATTTCTTGAAAAATGTATTTGATTACAATCAATTGTTGTAAAATGAATATGTATAGTTAGATAGCTAGTAAGCAATTTTACATAAAATTGTAAATACGAGTGCAAATAAATTCCATTCTATCTGGACAGTAATTCAACATATTTTATAAATTATCATATAAATAGTGTGGGTACATATAAATAATAGTTTCATTTGCATTATTAAAATAGCTTACTCAGCGCGGAAAAATCATGGATGACAAAAGTGAAACTATTTCATGTCGTCGAAAACAATTATCATTACTTCTCTGTAAACTAAATGTCTCCAATGATTGGCTGATCAAGGAAACAATGCTTATAAGCTGTTATAAAGATCATAATCAAAAATGAGTTCATAGGAGGGTGTACTGTCAGCTCTGCTTAGTGTTTGCAGGCCTGTTTAAACTTTCTAAAAAAATAACCTTTACTAAGACCATAACCATATGATACAAACGTCTTCAACCAAACCCAAGCTAGTCTCATTAAACCTTGTCCTAAGGAGATAAAGATGCGATTAAGATTTTCTGTGAGAAAGCACTTCTATGCGCATAGTGTTCGCGTAACTATTTGAAAACATACTTTAATTTGCAATGTCAGCTATACATACACCTTATCTTAAAGATCACGAATACTATTTCAAATTAATTTTATGAAATAGGAGATAAATTAAAAGTGAATGAAGCATTTCCAAAATCCAACAGTTCTTTACGGCATCAAGAAATGCAGGAAAAATTCGATCAAAACCTTGAAATGCAAGCCCATACCGCACTTCGTGTAAATTCCAAATATTTTCCGATAAAAATAAATAGAAGCCTAAACAATTTTGTTTACAAAGTACATACCTTTTCATTTAGTCATTACTAAGAATAGAAACTTAAATTTTAATTTATTATTCAATGGCATTAAATTCATATTTAATCAACAAAAATAGGGGAAAACTGACTGTGTTGGGTTACATGTTCAGTTTGAAACTTGAAGACCAAAACATTTGATATCAACCAAAATAGATTTAACTTTTTATAACTTATCTCATTATTTCAACATCAAAATTTATATAACGTGACATAATCCAGCTACATATCTCACTCTGGGGCAAAAATGTAAAAACTTAAGTTAAAAAAACAACAACGATAAAGATCTAATCCAAATAGAAACGATACAGATTTTGTTCATTTGACTTCATCTATCACTTGTTATAAATTAATAACTGACAAAGACTGGCAAGTCCATTTTGCATATTTATCGACATACTTACAAATCTTTTGGTTTTCCTTGTGATGTTCAATGATATGTTCCAAATCTGCATGGCTGTTCACTTCAGACAGACAGGATTTTTCCCATATCAAAGTGGTCAAGATAATTAGACTGTGTTAGCAGGCAGTAGCTTAATTTGAGAAAATATTAACGTTAAACCAACAGCAAAAACTACGATCTGTTTGTAGCAGAGATATATAAATCATTCTGAACTAATTTAATTCGTATTTAAGAAATATTTATGAGTTTTTAGTTACTTCCAGAATTTTGCATCTCTGAACCGATTTCCGTAAAAAAAGGATCTGTTTTATAAAAGGTAGTTTTACTACGAAGTGAAGTACTCTTAATGTTCGAAGCCTAATGTACAATTATTAAATGTTTTTAAACATATTTTGCTATTTGGAATGTTTTAACATTAGAGCCCTAAATCTTATTCAATGTTAGTCACGTATTATTAAAAAACGACATTAAATAACGTTATTTTTTATTTTCGACATTTTGTTTTCAATCTTTATCTTCATACTGGACTGTTCATTTAAAGAACCATCAGTAAAATTTACTAGAGGTGATTCAAAGGTTTTGTTATTGATTTGAAGGAATAACCCAACAACGAAAAGCGGTATATGTATGGACAAATTTATTACAAAATGTCATGCAAAGTCTTGTGTACATAACCCAATAGGTTAATACACACAAACGACGGCAACGATGTTACCATGCACATGTCAAATTCTCTCAACGTCACTCGTTCATGACTCTGCATGATGAAAGTGCAAATTTAGACAGACAACAATCTTACAACAGACATACGAACATCTTTGAATTGCGATCGTAAATTTATTCACCATTCAACAAATCCGATAGAACTGCATGGTGAAATAATTGCTAATTGCATATAGCAAATATAATCGCTGAAATGTTTCAAAGCGTTAAATGTGACTCTCTTTGGCATTTCAATACATGAAAGATTTGTTAGAATTTTCCCTTCGCTTTTGTATTCTTGTAAACATTACATTCTTTGCTTTTAATAAACACTGAATTTCCTATTGAAACTGCAGTTTCTGATAAAATCAGTTAATATAGCCAGTTTTTAGACTACAGTTCAGAGAGTAGTTTTCTGACGACTGTTTTGTCATTTTATTCACTCGACACTTTTACTGTCGCTTAAAAGTTTAACATATCGTTTATTGTGTTAAACTGAAGTTGATTAATGCTACACCAATATGATTAGACGTGTAGGTCACAGGACTCGTGTAAAAATACGTACAATCTCTGAAGTATTGTGCAATTATAAGTAGCGCGTATTGTTGAGATCATACATAAAGTTAAATATTCTTATGATAAAAAAGGTGCTCATCGCCATTTTGTTAGCGTTTTCATATCCGGGTGCATTTTGGAACGTAATGTAGCTCTGTACTGTTTTTACAAATATCGAATTGACTGAGATGATTATATCGTCTATATCGTACTATAGTAACATTTATTGTATCTCAGTGACCTAACTTCTCGTGATATTTACTAAATTGTTGGTTTTGTTTAGATGTAATCAAAACGCCCGTTTGTCATCGACAAAGGATATGTTTAAATTATTGCTTAAAATTTTACACAGGAACGTTAAGTGTTAATTTGTGTTTAAAGAAATAGGAGCTGTATGTGGTTATTTAAATCTTGATTTTTATGAGTTTATTTTAAATATAAGCTAATTTGATTGTATGTAAGGAAAAGAATGCAAAAATGATCACAACGAAAGTTATTGTATTAAAATTGATTGTAACACATCATCACACAATTTTTTATTTTGCAGTATATTTTCATTTCAATGTTAAATGCATTCACTGTAGTTATTGCTGACAAATACAATGTAATTGAAACAATTAGAAGCAATCATTCTAGTATTGCAATGGCTGTTCCAGGAAAGAAGGTCGGTCAGCAGTTTACAACATTAACATCAAAATATTCTGATGACACTCTTAAAGTTTATTGCCAGCCTTGTGACAAAGATGGAATTACATTATCTGCCCATGGCTACTGTAAGAATTGTTGTGAACACTTATGTGAGTCATGTTTCAACTTCCATAGAAAACATACACTTTCTCGAGATCACTTTCTGCTAGACAAAACAATCATGCCACAAACCATACAACCTTCTTCAACTGCTCATTATAGTGGGCATGATAATCTTATGAAACCCTGTCCGAAGCACAAAAAAGAATCAATCAAGTACTTCTGTGATATTCATAACGCGTTTTTATGCAGTGTTTGTGTTACTCTTGAACATCAACCTACAACCTGCAAAATTAGCTACATACCTGATATTTCTGAAAATGTCATTGATAGCAAAGAGTACCAAGAAATCTTGAAAACCATGGACGCTATTTCACTTCAATATCATGAAATAAAACATCGTGCGGATAACGCATTTTCAAGATCGAAGAGTTCTTTGGAGAATGTATTAGTGGGCATCAAGAAATTCCGTAAAGAAATAAACAAACGATTAGATGAGCTTGAGATGCAAACAGAACTTGCAGCAAATAACATTCAACAAGAAAGTTCCGAAAACTTCAGCACAGTAGAAACAGCTTGCAATGGTGCTACTAACATTCTTCAGACATCATCTGATAATATTAAACAATTTAACACATCAAAGCAAGCAGATGAACTTTTCATGGAACTTAAGTACGCAAATCAAACGATAAGGAAGTATGGGGAAGAACTTTCAGATTTAGCCAACATTTGTTTTAAGGAGTATTACTTTACACCTAATGAAGCAGTTTCAACGTTGCTCACAAAAGAAAAGTCACTTGGTACATTAGTAAAGGCACCACTCAAAACAGAATCTACAGAACCTTTACCTATAAAGTCTGGACAATTTTCTTGCCAAGGAGAAATCCGTGTAAAGACATCAGAAGATAAATATGAATGTTGGATAAGCGGAATAACTCTTACTAATCCCGATCTTCTTATCATAACTGACTGTGAAAATAAAGCTGTAAAGATGGTTGATATTAACAGCCAAATGGTTACTGATCAATTACAACTAGATACTATACCACATGATGTTACCAGAGTGAGCAACACGAAACTTGCTGTCACACTTCCATTCAAACAAACAATACAGATTGTATCAATCCTTAAAAAAAAACTCACACAAAAATCTATTATAAAGGTAAATGGAGACTGTCTTGGCATTAGTTGTTATCAAAATAAATTGGTTGTGTCATTTTGTAGTCCAGCAAAACTGCAGATTCTTGATATAAATGGCACAATATTGCAATCATTTGAAGATGGACATTTCATTTTTGATTGATCCAAATGTTGACAATGTCATCCAAATCTACAAATTGACTTAATGATCAACATTATTTTTTGTCCAATCACATTGTAGTATTTTTCAAATTTCTGCTTTGTCTAACTTTGGTTAATGTGTACTAACTAAATAAAATTCACTTAATCTGTTGTCTAACCGCAGTCTAACAAATTTCAATAATGCATTATATTAGGGAGGAGTTAGAGGTATGGTTTACACTCTGATTTGTAAAATGTCAAGGTAAGCAAAACAATGCCAACATAAATAAAAATTAGTCGAGGTCAGGTGTTTCTAAATGTGAGGATACAATCAACTGATTTATTACATAGACAATACATGTTGGGTACGCAGAGACAAATGATTGCATATTAACTTTTTTACATCCTTTGAAAAATGACTGTTATAAATTGCTGACTGTTTTAAACTTTATATTTTATAGAAAAAGTAACCAAAACATTATTTTCTTTCACTTGATAGGAATAAACTGCATTAACAATCATTGATATCAAGAATACAATGATTACATTTTTTGGCTGGAAAAATCATTGAAATTGGACCCCCTTCACACAGAAAAAATGAAGTGTTTTTCAAATGAGCAAATCAAAAGGGATTTTAAATGTTAGTGAATAACTTGAAGCTAATAACGAATTTGTATCAATGAATAATCTCTAATGTATTTTTTTCTCACATTTTCCATTTATTTTAAAAGGATGTACACATTTCATTAACTCCATTGTTTTTACCTAATTGCATCGTTTTCCTCGCTGTTTTTTCCAGACATATTATAAACATGATAGTCTTACTGTAGATAAAGGTATAAATTCTGTGACATTTCAGTAAAAAAGTGTGCCTGGGCCATTTAATTAGCTTATCTAAATGTGCCATGTTAGCAACTTGACAAGGTGTAGACATGTTGTAGAGCGAAAGGGCGGAGCTATAGGTGATTTAGAGAAATGCCTTGTTGTTAGTTGAAAAAAATAATGTTGATCATTAAATAGGTTAATGTTTAATAATATGCACTAACAAAAATAATTGGTCGCCTGTAAATGTTGTTACAGCGCTATAAACAATAATATCGACCAAAACAGTCTGTTTTATTTCATTAAAAATGTACTTTGATATAAAACTACGTAAATTCTATCAGTGTATGTGCTTTCTGCAGCTGCAGTGAAGAAATTAACTCTGTACAGAATGTTATTGTACTAAACGTTAGTGAGCGAGTGAATGAGTGAGTGATGAAAATACTGATATCAATTGAGAAGTTGATAATGATCGATATGATTTTCTTATGATTTTCAGTTCAAAAGTAAATGCTTATACTATATAATATTGTATCATTTTGTCGTGCATTTTGAATTAGTATTATTTATACAATTTCTTTGACTTGTAATAAATTGTGTAAGATTGATGCGTTCAAAGTATATAATAATTCCGAATTATTCAACAAAAACAAACCAACACACATACACGGTCGGGCAGTCTGAATTTACAAATGCAAAATAAAAAAACCTTATGATATAAAGCTTTTATTTAACTACCGAGTCCTTTCATATATTCAACTACCTGAAAAGAAAAAGCCTGTATGTAGCTAAAAATTGAAAGTTATCATCACTTAGGTTCTGAAATTACACACACTAGTAAATCTAAGAGCAAAATCCACAATTTATTTATCAAACTCATCGTTACTCATTTGAACTAATTAATTTTCAATGTACAATTCATGTTAATTGGAATTTTGTTTACACATTGAATGATTAATGCCTATTTTTAATATCTGCAGAACCACTTGGACTATTTAAAGCTCGAGTCTGAGGGCTTCTGCATTAGCGCTATTCTAGCATAAAAAAGTTAATTCCGCGTTTCGTTATTCGTTTTCGTATAAAGAACCATCCCGTGCTAGCGCCCTGTCATTTGAAAGTGAAATTTAGGATCATCATAGGAGTAAGGTATTTTATATGCCAAACTTTATTTATTTTAAAATGAGTTGTTTGTTGTTGTACTGTAGTTCTGAGTGTTTTCTTCCGTCGATTGTTTTGTCAGTTGCACGGTTTTCTTGACGTCTTGTCTGTGATACACATGCTTATAACCTCAGATCCCCTTTCAAAATTCCATTGTCCACCGTCCATTGTTTTTTCATTTAGGGTACACGCATTCTTTTACTTGGGGACCATACGCCGCTTTTCGTGGAATGGCACTACTGTGTCAAATTGAAGGTTCCGTGAAAACCGCCAAATGAACACTTCTGCGGATGTTTCGAAATTCAAAATTTGACCTTTTTCGTGTTTAAATGTTGAATTCTACTTAAGCCGGTGCTAGGAGGCATAGCTGTAACTTGCACTTTCCAGTACCGTCAATGAACAGGCGCAATCAAACCGAGCTGCATCATTTTCAATTTTGCCGTTTTGTGCTTTCTTTAGGATTCTGTTTTTCTCTATTTTGTTTTTTATTCACTCTTTAAAATACGCGGGCCCTTCATTTAAACTGTGTGTTAACGATTTCATAGATCGTTTATCTTGTTTAACAGAAGTGTATTATAGCAACACCAATAGGAACAAATGTGTATGTCACATGACTCGTAAAACAAGGAAGTAACCAAATACGCGTAACCTTCACAAGTAAACTCTCAAGTTAAAACTGCATATGGAAATTGAGGATTTAATAACATAACATAAGGTAAATATTGTATGTATATTTATATGAAATAAATTATAGCAACTGAAGAAGTAGCACGTATCATTGATATCTTACATGAAGTTTAACATTCAGACGATAGAAATATGCTACACTACGCCATTTTGCTATCGATTGTATTATACCCGATTGAATACTAGTAATCATGATTTTATTTGATCAAAAGAATAATTCGTCTGCATTATTTTGTTTCGAAATCTAAAACGTAAATTAGTTTAGGGTTTTAGAGATGTCAATCTATACATAAAGGCATGTCTCTTTTCGGCATAGTGTTTAACTCACCGTATTACCGGCGCTAGTGATGAAATATTGCTGCAATGGTGACATTTACGTTATTAGTGGCGAAGTCGATCTCAAATTTAAAGTAAAGTAGGCACATTTATATTAAACTAAAATAGGCACATTTCCGTTAGTATTTTATAAATTGATAGAATCAATAGAAATTGTAAAATTTGAACATTTTTAAAAACTACTGCTTGTCTATAAAGTTCTAAGTTATATAGTATGAACATTTACATGATAAATAATAATACATTGTTCTTGAACAATTTTATTTACTATATAAATAAACATAATATTAGATTCTCACTTGCAACAGCATCCAACAAAATTCTTTCATGGTTTGTTATTATGTCTAATACAAAACAATATCAGCATAATTATTTATTGTACTACACACCATACATAATAGACCAATTCACTTAAAGGCATTACATTTACAAAACATGTCCGAGAATAATCCAAAGAAGTGTTTTGGTCCGTCGGGACAATTTATTGCAATACTCTACTATGTATAAAAAATAACACAGCTTAAGTCGGTGGTAGGGTACGTGTGAGATGTTTTATTCTTTTAAGTTTGTTTATTTTGCTCCTGAGGGATGTCAACTTTAACAGATCACGAAGAAGTGTGTATAACTATGAGTGCATGTTACAGCACAGCACAGTGCCTCATGATGTCTTTTCTCTAACATTTTTAACAATTGTCGGTATTTCTTCTTTATTTTGTTTGCCCTTAACAATAAGACGCTATCCTGTTATAAAACATGAAATCTAACTAGTGTTAGATATTTAAACATTTGTCTATTCATTCCTTTAAGTTGTAGCTTCATTAGTCAGTCGGGATGAGACTTTGTGCATAATTTATTGATCAAGTCCTACATCAATTGGTTTAGATAGCTCGGAGAAAAATTTCCATTCCCATCATGTCACAGAACCTCAGTATGAGTCCCTATTATCCAAAGTGTGGAAGCTTTTTTCTAAAGATGGTGTTAAAAGACCTTATTTCAAATCCTATAAAATCTCTCGATAACGTTAAAAACATGACAAAAAACAACCTTTTATGACAGTCGATTTCTGTTGTAGCTTCTCTATGAATGCTATTTTTTTTATAATAAATGTTATGGTTGCTCCGGCTGTCTGGCGAACTTCACGAACATGTTTTGAAAACTTTGCAAAATAAATGTTGAAGTTGTTAAGAAATTTGTTTATATCATATGCCTAAGATCTCTATATTGTCTTGTTCTGTATAACAATATTACAATGCAGTTTAAGATATATTATGCTCTTTTGATTCTTAAATATATTGATAATTGCTACATCGTCTCTATGTTATTGTAAAATAACATGATAAATTACATACAGACTAGAAATGTCTTGTTTAAAACTCTACACACTATAAGTAAGAACAGTATGAATACAGTGTGATTAAAAATAATGGTCGTTTTATTTTAAGAATCGACTACTTCAACAGTTATTTGGAATGCAGCTTCCTATGCATAATGTGAACATTCTGTTACAAATTCAATATTAATTACTTAGTTTTCAATAAATTTCCGCCCCGTCATAAAAGTACTTTATCAAACGATGGGCATGGTATATGTTAAATGTACACGGAACGTTAACTCCCCCCCCCCCCCCAATTTATTCACTCTTAGGTCAACATTGCCAACAGTTATCAGATATATTATCATCTAGATTGATCATGTATGTCACGTAACATGTTACACTAACAAAAACTCAAGCATCTTAATCACTGCACGTAAGTATTCATCTGCTAATCACAAGGTAGGATAAAATTACACCAGGTACTTTTTTTATTCACATCATATAACTTTAATATAATGAGGTTATTATAAATTGTTTAGTACAATACTGAATTCTATTGGACGAGAAAATAGCTGTAAAATCTGTACTGGACGAGGCGCTAGCGACGTCTGATATAGGTTTTGCAGCTGTTTACGACTTACATTGATTACATGTATTCAAATCTTTTTTCAATTTACTGATAAAAATTCCGGTCGTTTATTTCAAATCTATTACATGCTTTGAAGTAATTGATTTTTGATTAATCTTACAGTGTAATGGTAATGATAAATTTAGCTTTCTTCCTTTTTCCAGCTGCGTCACAGCGCCACACATTAATATATTGCACTAGTGTTAACTGTGTTCAATATATTTCGATTACATGCAAAAAAAATCATATTTCCAATAAATGTTTGACCTTCACAGATAATTTTTAGAAGCTGTAGAGCATATAAGCCATGATAAGCATGAACGTGAACGTTTTATACTTTTGTAAAAATAAAATTACACATGTAACAAAAGAAATCCACACAAAATGTAAGGTTACTGAGTAATATAAAAACGATAGATTAGAGTTTAAATAGATTAGATTTCTTTACACATTTATTGTACTTTTAATGACTTTGGAAGAATAGTTTCACCTTAACATCACCGGGCTGAGAATTAAGTTGAATAAAGTCCATTAATGCGAGACTTTCTCGTTGATACAATATTACCCATGTCTAGCAATGTTTAGATCTAAAAGCCTGCGATGCTTAATATATTTATATTTTGCTATATTATAATATTAGGTAAAATTTGAATACCGGTATTTTCTGAAAGATTTGTCTTAAAGTTGATACTGTAAAGAATCAATCAGTTATCAAAATTGTAAATTTGTTCTATAAAAAGTATACAGAGTAACATTTGCATTTGCTTTATATAAATCAGAAGTGTAAAAGTTAACTAATAATAATTAATACAAAATCGACTTAAGCACTTGTGAAATAATTCTTACCGTAATTTACTGATTGATCACTCTTGTTCCTCTATTTTAGTATTGAGATGGCTGTTCCAGGAAAAAAGGCTGGTCAGAAACTTACAGCATCACAACAAATTAAGGATTCTGATGAAGAACTTAAGGTTTACTGCCAGCCATGTGACAGAGATGGACCAAGATTGCCTGCTCATGGTTTTTGCAAGAATTGCTGTGAACACTTATGTGAGCCCTGTTTCAACTTTCACAAAAAGCACACTCTTTCCCGAGATCACATACTTCAAAACAAAACCAACATGCCAAAGATCTTACAGCATTCTTCAATTGATGCTAAAAAGCCTGATAACCTTACGAAACCTTGCTCTGAACATAAGAGGGAAGTCGTTAAATTCTTCTGCCAAGACCATAATGCACTACTTTGCAGTGTTTGTGTTACTCTTGGACATCAACCTACTTCTTGCGAAGTCAGCTATATACCAGACATTTCTACAAATGTCATTAACGGAAAGGAGTATTCAGAAATCTTGAAAACCATGGATACAATTTCAAATCAATTTCATAAAATTAAAAATCATGTGAAAAAAGCAATTTCAAAATCCAACAATTCTTTAAGTATTGTGTTAAAAGACATAAAAGACTTTCGAAAAGAAATCAATCAAAGGCTAGATGAACTGGAAATACAAGCAGAGAGTACAGCCAACGACATGCTCCATGAAAATACTGAAAATCTAAACAAAGTAGAAACAGCTTGTGATGATGCCATCAACGTTTTTCAGACAACAACCGATACATTCAAACAACTAAACGCATCACAGACAGCAGATGTACTTTTCTTTGAAATAAAAAACGCAGAACAGATGCTTAAAGATTATAAGAAAACGCTTGCAGATTTAGTCAACTTTGACATCAAGCAGTACAACTTCACACCGGATGAAACAATATCAACTTTTCTCACAAGACAAACATCATTAGGTACATTATTAGAGAAACCAACAACCAAAACAAAATGCACATCAGCAGCCTCGCAGCTCAAATCGTCTAGGCAGTTTGTTTGCAAGGGCGACTTCAGTGTGATAACAACACAAGATAGAAAAAGATGCTGGATAACAGGAATGGCTCTCCTTACTCCAGATCTTCTTATCATCACTGACTACAACAACAAGTCTGTAAAAATGTTGGATATTGTAAGTCAATCTGTGACAAATCAACTACAACTAGAAACTTCACCACGTGATATTACCACAGTCAACAGTTTGGAACTTACTGTCACCCTTCCGTACGAACAATCAATTCAGTTTGTATCAATTTTATCAAACAAACTAAATAGGAAGCAAAAGATGAAGGTTGATGGAGAATGTCGTGGTATAAGTTGTTTTCAAGATAAACTTATTGTTTCGTTCACCAATCCTGCGAAATTACAGATTCTTGATATAAACGGGACTGTATTGAAAATCTTTGAAGATGAACAAGTCAGGTCTCCATTATACATCACAGCAAATAGTCGGTTTATCTATGTATCTGACTGGGAAATGAAAACAGTAACAATATTTAATTGGCAGGGTTGTTCGATTGGTAGCTATGGAAATAACAGTGATATGGAAGCGCCTAAGGGAATATCACTGACGGATGATGGCACAGTATTTGTGTGTGATGAGAAGAGAAACGTTATAGAAGAGATATCAGGAGATTGCTCCACGGGAAGAATTGTATTGAAGGATCGGCAGGAACCATATGCTGTGTCTTGGTGTGGAAAAACAAGGACGTTGTACAACAGTTCCTTTACTGGATATGACAAAGATGACAATGTCGTTAAAATGACTAAGGTGACAGAGAGTATAAAACAAAAACAACTCTGTTGAAACTGTTACATTAGTGCGGAAACTGCTATCAACCAATACAGCCATAAAGACGTAAAAACGTTCGCAAGATGAAAATAGAAATATTTTTTTTTGGAATATAAACAATCCGCTTTTTCCATAAATTTGTGAACTGCAGTAGCAAACAAAGCCAAACGCTGTTTAACGTGGCGTTACAATATACATTAGGTTTCACAAAACGTATAGTCAGAAAATATTTCAATGTGAAAAGTCTTGAAAACTTTATCATATCTTTCACATCATCGCGCGATATGAATAGATTTGAAAACTTTATCTTGTCTACGACATTATAGCGCAATGTGAATAGTTTTAAAAACTTTATCATATCTTTGACATGATAGCCCATTGTGAATAGCTTCCAAAACGTTATCATGTCTTCGTCATTATAGCGTAATGTGAATAGTTTTGAAAACTTTATCATATCTTTGACATAATAGCGCAATGTGAATAGCTTCCAAAACTTTATCATATCTTTGACATAATAGCGCAATGTGAATAGCTTCCGAAATGTGATCCTGTCTTCAACATTAAAGCGTTGTGTGAATAGTTTTAAAAACTTGATCCTGTCTTCGACATTATAGCGCATTGAATTCCATAACAAATGTAAAAATGTTTTAGTTGACTCATATCTTTATTGTTTCATCACATTTTATCTATAACTGATGACTAAATTGACTTTATTAGATGAGAACTCTAATTAGATATACTCCTGAAATATGTCATGTATGTGAACATAGTTTAGATAATGTACAAGAGTTATATATAAAGAAACTGTACTGGATTTTTAAAACCTTATTTGGACTTTCAGAACTTTCAAAATGTTCAATAGATAGACAGATGGATAATCAGTTCAAGATGCATGCGTGTGTTACCTTCTGCAAAAATATTATTTTCAGTTATGAATTTTGTAATTTGCGGCTTTGTAGTGAAACAAGAATGCATACATTGGCATTAGTTTTTGGTTATTAGTCGTATTCGTTTCAACAGGAGAAGAACAAATACTGTGTATTGTTTATGAAAATGTGCTTACTTTTTTGTATTTTGTATACTGAGACATTTCTGAAATATAAACAATATATCAAATATGATATATATTTCCAGTGCCATGAATAATATTATAATGTTAATAATTAAGTGTTTTCATAATGGCCTTGTAATTGGGCTGAAGACTGTCATATTAGCCTGAGGTCAAGGCCAAAGGCTAATATGACAGTCTAAAGCCATAATAATAAGGTCATTATGAAAACAATTATTTATTGACAATTTTATAAATTGACGACACATAATCTAAAACTTAAGTACTTAGTAAACAAAAAATAAGTACATGTAATGTAAAATTCCGTTGTTGTGAGGTATTGCAAATGAAATTCTTGTTTTAAAAATTTCTCAGAAACCTACCTTGCAGCAATTCAAATTTTCTCTTTTTTTCAAGTCATCAAAGGATATTTTGCATTTATTTTGTCTCTTGCATTCTTTGACACTTAAACGCAAATGAAAAATAAGATACACTGTTCATTTTCGCAATCGGTTTATATCTAAGGTGGATTTATTTTACCCTATTTATCCTAGTAATAGTATTTCCTTTTCATAAGCCGTTCCCCATTTATCATTTGGTAAGTTTCAAAATCAAGTCCACCTTACATTGACAATTAAAAGATATAATAACAGGCTGTCAATACAACAACGATATTTTTGTTAAAATAAGCAAAATTATAATAAGAATATCAATGGCTGATTCGTCTGAATCATAAGAAGTTGCAAAGCAAACGTCCTTAAACACCGATATTACACATTCATTGGTCACTTTGACATGGCAAACGCTATAAGACGGTTACAGGCCTTAGGGGAGGTAGAGCGTTGGGGGAGGGCACACACCGTGAGGTTGATGTGGCGCTTGCTGTACATCACGCCATTGTCAGCAGAACATGGGTTAGGTACCAGCAATATGGTACAACCGTCAGGAGGAATGGCGGAGACACACAAATGGTGGCGACAGTAGCGAAGACCGATTATTGATTATCCAGGTACGTCCAGGACTGCTTACAACAGCAATAGATCTTCGTAAAAACCATCTTAATGTTTATGGAATCAATGTCAGTACAAAGACGTCACGTAAAAGATTGAACGATGATAATTTGTGATCTAGAATACCCTGTATAAGAATTCTTCGTCAATCCCAGGCCAGTTTGGAGACAAAATTGGAGACATGTTCTCTCCATTGACGAGTCTAGATTTTTTCTTGACTTTACTGTGACAGACTTGCGAGAGAGGACCTTGAGAAAAGTTCAAGCCTGATATAATGCTAAGAACGACCGGTACGGGGTAAGGTCAGTTATGATGAGGAAAGGCATCAGATAGGATGGACTGACTTCGTTGTGCTAAATAGGAGAACAAAGACTGGCCAGCGGTAAATCATTGAGATGTTAAACACCAAGGTTAGGCTGTATGTCGCGTAAGTGGGCGATCGGTTCATTTGAATAGACGATAATGCGCGTCCCCACAGAGCTCGTGCTGTTCATAATTTATTGGTCAAAATTATAATAAAAAAGCAAATTCATTGATGCAATTAAACTCATATGCGCGTTTGTAAAACAATGAAAATAAAGACATTAAGCCAAGATGCGATACATACTTTTAACAAAATCAAAAACTTTAAAAACAAAAATTGTAAATGAAAGCAATTTTCGAATTACAGTCCAACCCCGTTTATTCGAAGTGCCTGGGACTGAATATTTACTTCGAATAATCGATGGGTTCGAATAATCGAAATCCGAATATTGTGATAGACGAAAACTACTCCACTTTGACGAATTGTAGTAAAACTACCGTTTAAAACACATTTACTTCCTGTAATCAATTGAGAAAAATAAATATTAAAGAAAAGATGCGTAAAAATTATTGTATTGACATTGAAGACATAAATACTTGCATTTTATTCTACATTATGTATCGCTTCGTTTCGCGCAAAACCTTGATAATGGCCGTGTTGTCACTACGGTATTTACAGCTAAACTCTGGTATTTTCGATTAGGAAAAAGGCTCTTATGTAGCGTCATCTTCAAGCAATAAAAGTTACAAAATCGGACACGGTGCATTGCTTTTCTTTTTCGTTAATTAAAGTTGATTAAAGAACACAAAAAGTGCTATTATCACGATTGTCTAAATACATGCATGACTATTGATGTTTTTCACAAGTCGACCAGTCAGCGAGTGGATCTGCGCCAATTAGTCTGACTTCGAATAATAATTAGGCTGGCTTCGAATAATAGGTGTGAAATTCTTTCATAATTGTATAGTCGGGACCGAAATTTTACTTCGAAAAATAGGAGGTATTCGGATAATGCATTTCGAATAATACGCTCGTATTTATATTGATTTATATAGAGATAAAAACGGGACCGCCGATCTACTTCGGATAATGCCGGGTATTCGAATAAAGGGTTGTCGAATAACCGGGGTCGGACTGTATTTGAAAGTGAAGAAAAAGACATTATTTGTGACTTACGTTTTAATCATGAATATAGTGATAACTTACACGCGTTGTGTTATTTAACTTGATATTATAATAATATTGTAAATAATAAGATATAAGACCGTTAAATCAACATCTGTAGTATGGTTGATGCTGTCTGATTTAAAAAAAATCTGAATTTAAAAATGTACCATTATGAGGAATATTTTTTACATATTAATAAATATGCATATCCTCGTATACACGTATAAAAAAATACTTAGCTCAAGATAAGATCTGTTTCAATATTATAACATACATGAAATGAACATTGAGACTGTTTAATACGGAATATTATAAGACTTTATATGTCGTTACGAGCAATGATGGAAAATTTTCCCAACGCTTTGAGAAAAGCACAATACTAGTACATGGCCCCAGAAACCTGCTACAGTATAATTTTCCTTTTATTATATACTAATACATTTTAACAAAAAAGTTTTAATATACTTAAGTTTTAAATATAGCTGTAAAAAAATAAGGTCATGAATAACGGATGGAAACGTGAAGTTTGCAAAAGACGCATTTTGGCACCGTATTTGTCACGAGCATTATACATTATTTTTCTTTCCGTTAAATCGTATGAACACTTCAAGAGCTGCGTGTATCTTAGGGGGAAAATATATAAAAAAAAGCAGCATTACAGGTCGTTTTTTTTTTTATTTACACAATGATGTTACCTGTACTACACGTAATGTAATTCACCTCATTACATGTAAAGGCTGTAATAAGCAATACGTAGGTCAAAATAATCAAAATGTATCATACAGAGTGAATAAACATAGATTTGATATAAGAAATTGTGACGTAAAACCAGTTTCACATGTTGCGATCCATTTCGGATCACCCGCAAATAAGTGTTCATTGTAGGATTTTTCATTTTTGCAGATAGAAATTATAGATAACAACATGGACCGTTTATGTAAAGAATCCTTTTGGATTCATAAATTAAATACTATGATTTCAAATGGACCAAATAATAAAGTATTGTTTGATTTATTATGTGTTACATGAATATTACTATGTTTGTCTATTATCTTACTTTTTTAAAACACTGTCTAATAGCTAGACATCTGTATCACTATTGATCCATTTTAATTCATGTACCAGCTTTATTTATAACATAAATATTTGTTTTTACATGTTACCATATTTTTGCCGCTAAACGCCATAACGTTTTTCGCGCGTTTTACGCGTGTTCCGTTATGACGTCGCTTCCGGTAAGTTTATTACGTTTTGCACTGATGAAGGCATATAGCCGAAACGTATGCAATAAATAATTACTAAATGTTCGTGTTTGTGTGGCTCATCTGTTTATTTTAGGGGAAAATATAGTAATATTATAATAAAACGATATATTCAAAGAATAGCTAAGTCTCATAACAGAAAATTTTCCTTTATATGGCCTGCTTAGAGTAACCTTTTTATCATACTTCTATATGATTACGTATATCGGGTATTTTTCTTTTCTCTAACTTTTATCTAATCTAGTCAATTATTCTAATCGTTTCAGTGATTTTTTCACCTAAAAGCAATGCCTTTCAAACAGGAAGACCCAGTTGAGATTTTTGTGTTTTGTTTCTTTTGTAGATAAATAAAAGGGAATCTCTGATTACGCTATCGCTGATATTCTATACCTTTGTCCATATATTAATTATACTTTGTCAAAGCGTTACATATTAATTTTCTGATTGTGTCGATTGACTCGGCGGACAAGTAAAAGTTCGAACATCAAAGTTAAGGATTAAATAGCATAAGGTAAATGTTAAAGTACTTCTATACAGAAAAATAATAAAATTGCTTAAATTTGTAATATCTAAACTTAGTGATGAAGTGAATTGGTCTGCAATGGGCATATTTTCCTTAAGTGTTTTAAATTTTGACCAAAACAAAAGAAATGTACAGTTTGGGTGTTCTTATAAAATATTTTTTTTGAATAATGTTGATCAAGTATTAAATGGTTTAGTATGGACATTTATATGATAGAGAATAATATTTTGTTATAGCACATTTTATTAAAATATATGTCGATTCGGACCATGTATTTCAGTTACCAACAACATCAATATATACTTACTCCACGGTTTGTTATATCCGTGATATGCAGGCTTCATAACCACCGATCCCCTTTCAAAATTCCATTTTATTTAGTCCCGCCAATTGTTTTCTCGTTTAGGGCTCACGCATTCGTTTACTTGGGGACCATACGCCGCTTTTCATTGAATGACACACATTGTCGCATTGAAGGTTCCATAATAACCACCGTATGAACACATCTGCGAATGTTTGAAAATTCTTAATTTTACCATATCATGTTAAATGTTGAATACTGCTTAAGCCGATACCAGAGGGCGTGGACGGTTTGTTGCACTTTCCAGTACCGTCCATGATTAGGCTCACTCAAGCCAAGCCTGCAAATTGTCAATTTTGTCGTTTCGTGCATGCTTTAGGGATTCTTTACTTCTCTTTATTAGATAAGTTTTATCTAGGAATGAAATTATGAACAAAGAACATAACAGAAAAAACTTTCAAGTGATGTGTAATGCATCATCATATACAATATAATGACATATTCCTTTTATAAATGCAACTTTATTGAGTTATAGTTTGTAAAACAAGTATCACTCAAAGAATACAAAGACATCTTATTATATTTCAAAACAATAAATAATAGTAGTGTGTAGTTGAGTATAAACATTTGTGTACGTGAATGGAACTTTACATCTTATTTATTAAAGATACTATAAACCATTAAAAGACTCTGGTAAGTAACTCAGTTAAAAGGAAAAATCACAATGTATTTTAGATCATTTGTTTTGATGTATATAAACTTGTGAAGCATTAAAGCTAAGCTGAGAATATCAAAAATTATACAAAGCAATCTTATTACATATTAAAACATTGAATTCAGTAATTGTTTTAATTCTAGTGCTGTAATGGCTGTTTCCGGGAGGAAGGCTGGTATGCATTTCAAATCACCAACATTAAAGAGTTCTGGTGACGGTCTTAAAGTATTTTGCCTGCCCTGTGACAGAGATGGCGAGAGATTGGCCGCTCATGGCTTCTGCAAGAATTGTCATGAGCACTTATGTAAGTCGTGTTACAAATTCCATAAGAAACATACTCTTTCTAGAGATCACAAACTACTGAACAAAACCAACATGCCACATACAATGCCACGTCCTTCAACTGTTCGTTTTCGGCAACATGATTATTATACTAAATCTTGTCCTCAGCACAAAAAGGAAACTATCAAATATTTTTGTGAAGACCATAAAACACTTTTATGCAGTGTTTGTGTTACTCTTGAACATCAACCTACTTATTGCAGAGTCAATTACATACCCAGCATTTCTAAGAATACCATCGACGGCATAGAATATCGAGAAATATTGAAAACCATGACTGCTATTTCAATTCAATATCGCGAACTTAAAGATCATGCGGATAAAGCATTTATGAAATCAAACAGTTCTTTGAATCATGTTTTATTAGACATAAAAGAATTCCGTAAAGAAATCAATCAAAGGCTAGATGAGCTTGAGGTGCAAGCAGAAAGAAGAGCACATGAAACACTGCGTGAAAATTTCAAAAATCTTAACAAAATAGAAACAGCTTGTAATGAAACCACCAGCAGTATTCAGAAATCAGCTGACAAAATCAAACAATATAACATATCAAAACAAGCAGACGAACTTTTCATTGAACTAAAGTGTGCAGAGCAAATGCTAAAAGAGTATGATAAAACTTTTGCAGATTTATCGAACTTTGATATCAAGGAGTATAACTTTAAACCCAATGAAACGATATTCACATTGCTCAAACAAGAAACTTTCCTTGGAAGATTAGCACTGACAGCTCTAAACACAGAATGTACAGCACCAGCATCACAAATAGAGTCAAATCAATTTCCTGGCAAAGAAAATGGAGATATATGTGTGAAAACTTCACAAGACAAATTTAGCTGCTGGATTACCGGGATGACTCTGCTGACTCCCGAACTTCTTATCATCACTGACTTCTTAAACAGTGCTGTAAAGGTGGTAGATACTAGCAGCCAATCTGTGTCTGTTCAACTACAACTAGATGTTGAACCATGGGATATCACCGCAGTTACCAATATAGAACTTGCTGTTACCCTTCCTCATAAACAAGTGATACAGTTTCTATCAATCTCAACAAACACACTATTAAAGAAGCGGCAGTTGAAGGTTGATGGAGATTGTCGTGGAATCAGTTGTTATCAACGTAAACTTGTTGTTTCATTCAATAATCCCGTGAAAGTCCAAATCTTTCAGAGAAATGGGACTGTACTGAACACCATTGAAAACGAACTATTCAGGTCCCCCTTATATATCACAACAAACAATCAGTTTATATATGTATCTGACTGGAAAATGAAAACAGTAACAATATTAAATTGGCAGTATGAAGAGATTGCAAACAATACTAGTATGGATGACCCTAAAGGAATTTCACTGTCGGATGATGGTACGGTCTTTGTGAGTGATGGAGTGAGAAATGTTATAGAAGAGATGTCAGGAGATTGTTCAGCAGGAGAAGTTGTGCGGAAGGATCTGAAATATCCATTTGCTGTATGTTTTTGTAGTAAAACAAGGAAGCTATACTATAGCTGTCATAGTGGGGATTTCAAAGTTGACAATGTCCTTAAAATATTCAAAGTGCCAGGGAAAATATGAATCTTTGCAAGGTAAAAAGCAAAAACAATTCTGTTGAAACCGTTATATTGGTGGAACACTGTCAACGCAGCCTTTGAATATATAAATGCCAAACTATATACTTGTTTAAATATTTAATATTAATATTCAAAGAATATTAACAATAAACGTTGCCAAGCATGTATAACCTGCAAGAAACACAAAGAAATGTACATTATAATTTGTATAACTATTCACCAAAATATCCAACATTTAAAAAAATGTATCATCGGTATCATTAGTGCTATATTATAATGTTAATATGTGTTATTATGTGTGGCATAATGCATGTTTGACTTTCATTATTCATATTTTAACTATTGTGTGCGAATTTGAACACATAATTATGTATGTATCTACACCAGAAGAAATATAATTGTTTTAGTCTTACTTGTATCAAATCTTTGATGTTTCATCTTCATCCATAAAACTAGTGATTGGGTTTTCTTATTTAATCAGAACATTATTTCACTCCGGAAATATTTCAAGTTCACATTTTAAAATGTCAAAAAATAAACAAACTTTACTGACTTTTAACACATGTAATAGGTAAAAATACACGAACAAGCTGTAGATAATCCATACGTGTGTTTTCCGTATGACTGTCTTACTGTCTACATTGCAGTTTTAATAACATGTTTTCTTCGAGTAGCAGGATGATGTCTTTTTGGTAACAGTCATTGTCTTATGTTTTGTTACATGAAAATAACATTTAATGTATTTTTCTATAATTATGTTTATATTTTTCTTCTTTTTTTCTACAAATGTCAACAATAAACATGAAATAAGTTTTAGCCAATTCTTTTGTATCTTGATTGACGCCTGCATAAACTGTATTTAAGGTCTCAAAGTTACGGAATTCCATAAACGACAGCCTACTGCTCACTGCCTACTGCTAACTGGACAGCCTGCTGCTCACTGCCGACTGCTTACTGCTTATTGACAGTCTAAGTCTATGTATGGATCAAATAGAAGGATTCCGAATGTACACACATGTGCGCCCGCCATTTTGTTGAAGGAAAACTTTGCGGAAAACAATGGTAAGTAAATTAAAAAGGATTATTTTATAGCCTAATAATTTGTAATTTCGAATTCATTGCAATGACTTGTGTACGTCCCACCATTGCACACTGCTTTGATTATGTTATGAAATGGTTCCACGTGCCTCTTGCACAGGTGATTCATAAATTGTCAAATATAGGATTCATTTTAGGGTAAATCAACTTAATAATAAATTATTCACAAAGAATCTGTGTTCAACAATCAACATGGACGGGCCTGAGCCCACTATTCCTCGGTTGAGAGGCGGAGATCTGGACCATTATGTCAACACTCCCTTATTTTATTTAGAATTTCATAGTTTATTAAACTTTCATTTGACAACATTTCTAGAAGAATATCTGAAATATTCTGGTGAAATCACTGGCGAAATTTAGGCTCAACATTCTCTCATAATCAAACATGTGTGAGTTCATTTACGAGATCATTTTGGTTCAGTTTTCATTGGCTGTTAGTTATAGCTTATAAATGTGTAATTCCGTATTAGATGTTATGTTATGCATTTTTGTTAAGTTGATTGCTCTCTTGATAGTTTATGTTGCAAAGATATGTGCTTTGAACGTTAATTATAGAATCAATTTTATTCCAGTACAGAGGATGATAAATCTGACAAATATTTCAATGGAGGAACAGCCTATACTTTCATTGATTTCACAGACAAGCAACAGAACCAATACACCTGTATGAAAATATTGAAATTACAATGGAAGAGGAAAAGGACTACATAAATATATTGGTTCTTATAGACCAGTTTAACTCGGCTTCCTTCTGAAAGCATAAACAAAGACAAACTTGACTGTATTCAAATTGTTTCAAAAACGTTCAATATTTCGATGACATAAAGAGTGCAAACATAACGTGATAAATTACAGTTTATCAGCTTATTTTACTGTTATGAAAAGCCATTGTGCTATTGAAAAATTCTGAAAAATAATAGATTCTTAACTATTTAAATTTACTTAAAAAATTTCTGATAGACAAAATGATCATGTTAATGTTACAATATATTTTTTGACGTGTTTGTTTAAAATCCATCTTTTATATAATTTTTATAATTATCTTGTTAACAAACACACTTAAAAGTGAACTTTAAGGTTGGTTATATTTTCTATTTCTTTTTGCAATTACCGCAAGTAAAACCAATGAGCAAATCTGCCTTCGTATTTGCCAGAATCATCTAATGAAATTCATTACTATTTCTATCAGGGTTCTAGAAGTTTGACAACTTAGGTAAACAGTTCTAAGACATCGTGATAGTGTGGAGCTTTTATTGTATAATATGAAGCATTTTTAAGTTACCTTTATTACAATGTGTATATCAATTTATATTGCAGAGTATATTTACATTAATATGATTAATCTCATAACAATTATATAATTCATAACAGAACTTTTAATTATAATTCTGCTTTTATATTAATTACTTTCCCCGAAACTTTACAAATATTTAATATAGATTTTGATTTTTTACAAGCGTGTCATAATTTTTATTTTTAACGATGTATACAAGAAAATATTAGCTTACTAGGATCATTATTGGAACTAAACATACTTTTTTGTGGTGTTTAAGTGTATTTTGTTTTTCATTTTAATTGTAAATAAAAAAAGTTCTTTAAAAATAAAATATCATAATTTTCTTGTAATTTTGTTTATGTTTAGCTCCCCGGAAAACAAAATTATGACATGCGTTAACCATAAAGCAAAGTTTGTTTGTTGAATGTTGTAATATGACCAAGTTGGAAAAAACAATATTCAACATTGTCCACATTTAAATAGTGTCTTAGTCCATCAGGATCGCGAAAAGTATGTATTAGGAAGATGAAGATTACGTTTTATTATTAGTTCCATAAGAAATACATCTGAAGCTCCAACATCTGGAAAGTTAACTGAATATTTTTCTTCAAAACAACTTTACAAGTTAACCTAAACTCTCTTTTCTTAAGACAATGAAATAAAATGACGGCCGTCCAGCAATAATATTATATTGATTAGTCTGTTTTCTTTTCTGTGGTTTTAATGCCTTTATCACAAGTTATAAAAATCAGAATGTAACACAGGCAATGCTGCAAAAACTTAAGAATTTCATGCGGAAGGCATTACATGCCTCAAATTTAGGATACCGCAGTTCATCATATCGTTAAACAAATACTAACATTCCTTTGTATTAAATAATAATGCCCACGTTGTTGTTTGTTTGTTTTGGGTTTTACGTCACATCGACACAGTATAGGTCATATCGCGACTTTCCAGCTTTACTGGTGGAGGAAGACCTCAGGTGCCCTTCCGTGCATTATTTCAGGCACGAGCGGGCACCCGAGTAGAACCACCGACGTTCCGTAAGCTAGCTGGATAGTAATGCCCACGTAACTCAAAGATCTTTCAATGATTTTATTATGCATCGACTTTCCAATTATAACACAATAATTTACATGTTAGTCAGCATGCTTCTGTCGAATATTTTTTTAACATCTACTAAAGAAACATTTTCTTGAGTCAAATCTAAGGCTTTGTAGAATTAAGGTTTAAATGTACGGTCTACAATCACCAGAACAAGTATTAACTTTTTTAGATAGAACTAAACGGTTCCATGTATGATTTGAATCATGAAGTGTGATTACTCTCCCAGTACGTTTAACGATTATCAGAATAAACTACTGGTAATCCGAGATGTGACTGGTATATAAAATAATTTTGTCAGAAAATCTATATATCTATGTTTTGAGCACCATTATCTAGATAATTTTTTAACAAAACATGATAGCATTATTTTAAAAATGCGAACATAAAACTGACCGTTGTAATTTAAATGTAAAAACAACGACGTTCTTGAAATTACAAGGCCTCCGTTTAAAAATATCATTAAGCACTATAGTTATAGAGTAGGGTCAATATCATTTAATGAACAAATACATGTTATATGGTAGATGTATCTAAATGACTGTCTTTTACAAGCTTGAACAGGGATATACATGTATAAATAATTAAGCAAGCAGTTATATTTGGTAGCTCAAAATTACCGAACAAGATTTAATGACAGAAAAAACTTGTAATATTTGGTTTGATAACATTTTTATAAAGTTTACAGGTCTATGATTTGGAAAAAGTTCCAGATGCCTGCAAAAGATATATACTTATATTTCTGCTTAGTATAACGAGAATTATACATGTACATGTATAAATGTAACGAGTTCCAAGGTTTCAGTCAAAGTCTTCATAAATGATACAGTGTACTGTAATTCCTTGACCAATACTGTTTCAAACGGCCTCATTGTAACATATAAACACATTGGAAGAAGTACGTAAAAGCCAACATTTACTTTCAGGCAGATAATCGGATATTTGACAGGTGTAACAGTTGGCATTCATCAATGAACAGAAAGCATTAAACAGTCGCTGTAAGCATTAAGCAGTTGAAAGTAAGCAGTTGACAGTAGGCAGTTGACAGTAAGCAGTTGGCAGTAGGCAGTTGACAGTAAACAGTAGGCTGTCGTTTATGGAATTCCGTACAAAGTAGCATAAATAATAATATTATCAAAGCCTACAAACATTTCGTTTGTTTTTGTTGTGTCACTTTTGCAATAACTACAATTTTGTTTGCTGAGATAAAATAGATTCACATTTTATTGACTAAAATAGTCTACAATATTCATTGTCGTGACCGGCGGATCAATAAATAGACTATGAGAAAAGTACGTAAATGTGCATGATGATGATATTAAAAACTAGATTATTATTGGATCAAATTTGGCATATTTTACTTATGGCATGCATATGGCAAAAGATACAAGCTTATTCAAAATAAATTCCAGTTTGCTTATTTTGTAACATCAATGATCACTAAAGTAAACAATGTTGTGCATAAAACGGGTTGCAAATAAACAAATAAAGAAACATACATTCCATAGATTGATATAAAGATCAGT